CAACTTCAGTGAATCGTGTCTGCAGGCGGTCGAGCATCATCAAACTCACTCTTATCCAGGTTCAGCATGCATAATTAGGATTACGATACAATTAGGATTTAAAACTTCATTTCAGAGAAAATCTAAAAGTGAGAATGTTTACCTGAAACACACACATTCAACTGAAGTGATGCATAGATACAAATATTTTTTACAGCAGGGATGCAAAGTGTAATGATGCTCTTATGATGAGCTGCTTCAAACAGTTGACAGATATTCTTTGGATTCTGTACAGCTCCACATCTGGATCATTGACTTGCTGAGTATTCATAAAAAATGATTCACTCGATTTGAATGTGATCTCAGCCCTGTGGCTCTGTGCCTCATAAGCTGCCTTCATCACCTCTGTGCACAACACAGGAACACTGTGCAATCCTGCAAACTGCAAATGAGCTGTTAGCAAGCAACGCTGACTGCGTCTCATACTTTACATACACTGGAAACTGCTACAACAGATGGAATCGTGGCTGAAAGGTCAAAACCAGAAAGATACAAAAGTGATAAAAAACACCACTTACAAATGCCTATTTTCTACATATATTTGTATAAAGTGACAGAGATGAAATAGTATCTTAACTCTATTGCTTGATTAGATTTGATTTGACATCATTGAGTCATAACTTCAACACATAGGACATGTATTCACACATGTCACATCTGTTCCATTCATTTTATCTGAATGAAACAGGTTAGGACAATGAGTGAATAAATATCGTGAATTGAGTGCTTGACATTTTTGCTGATAAAATGACTAAAACAACGAATTGATTTTCAAAATTGCAGATTTATTTCCTTTCTAATCAGCTAACTTTTGCCGCTCTACCTGTTTAAAGGACCGTGGCTCCATAAAAGACGGCTCTGACTCAGCCTAAGACACAGCCTCTATGAGGAAACTGTGCAAGTTGTACATTAGTTTGAACAATAGTACAGAGTTCAATCAGCTAACGGCTCGTCCACCCATACAGTCCACTGTTCAATGCCAGCTCTGTCCTCTCTCCATCATGTGCCCCACAACAAAGGAGCAGCCTCTCCTGGCATCGACCTCCAGACTCCCTCCTGTTTCCTCCTCATCACATGGCAGCAGAGAAAAAGAAAGAGAGCATCATTGGGGCGAATGCATTCATCCAGCCTGAAGTACAACTCACGCAGTGTGTGACCACCATGGTGGATGCTGCTCTGCTGACTCTTGTCACATACCACAGCACCACACAAGCCCAGATCCCCAATCCACTGACAGAACTCCTGAGCACAGCAGGCACCCACTATAAGCAGATCAATGTAGGGCTTAAGTATAAAATCCTTTATACAACTAAGAATTGCACAGAGTACAATAGGCCAGTGATGGATAATGAGCAAAAATACAGCTCTCCATGAGGATCAGAAGTAATGTATTCTGACTTTGGCATGAGGTGGCCTAGCAGACTTTCTCCGGTCTGTCCTGCACAAATGTCACCAAAGCTGCTCTCAAACATGCACTGAAGTCTGGACATCTTCCTGAAACTTTCCAGAGGGGCTGAATTTGAGAATGTCACTTTCCAAGTCAGTCTCTCTGGAAGTTTTCCAGAATTTTAGTTGGTTTTAAGGATAAGTGCTGCCGTCAGTGTCGATGCACTGGAAACAAAAACACTGTGGCTGTGTCCGAAATTACCCACTCATTCCCCCCCCTACATTGTGACTTCTATATAAAGAACAGTACAGTGAGCTCATCGGCGAAAAAGAGTCACTGTTTGGGTCATTTTTTCTGCACAGGTCATTATGTCATTATTGCACAATTTTGACGTACAACACCACTGATTTTTTTTTTGTTGATTTTCCTATTGTTGGAAGCTCCACATACAGTCTTCATATGTGAAAGGAAAACTTCAGAATATTAAATGCACCGGCTGAAATTTCTGTGCATTTTCCAGAATTTGTGTCTGAGAACGGTTTAAGAGACATTCAAAGTGATTCTATTCTCTGTGGTTTTGAAACTGTAGGTCTGGAACACAAAAAAACATCCTGCTACACATTATTATATCTAGTTTGCTGTGATATTTGTGTTTTTCGTATTAAATATATTTAACCTCTTCAGCGTCAAAAAAAGAAAGTATTGCAATAGTTTTGTACATCCAATCTTTCCCAGGTTATATAGGACAAGGATTTCAGCCAGTGTAAAAATTCAATTAAACAGGCAGCAGTTCCCATAAGACCATAAGGATTTCAGTCTCCTCTCAACCTACTGCTGATTCACTAGACAGCATTCTGTTGAGGTTATGTTATTTTTCTCCCAGAGCTCATCTTATCAATAGGCTAGCATTTAGCCTAAGTGGTATGACCTTCTACCAGCGGGAGTTTGTATGAACCCTCAGTACGTCAGACACCACAGGTCGTCCATTAAACCAGACTGCACTTAGAAGATGTAAAAACACTGCAATGTGATGAGCAAAAACTCCAGAGGATGAATAAGATACACTGTTTAAGGGAGGACAAGAAGGAACTGGTGAAATGAAAAAAATATAGAAAGGTATCAAATATACTGAATTTATATTGTTTCCAATCATTATTTAAAAAACATTTACCTCATAAACATACGTATCGAGGCTCCAGCTCCATAAGCCTCGATTCATTACATACACTGCTAGCACCCCCACAACCCGTACATTGAAAGGAAGTTCTCCCTATGTCAGAAATTCTCTGAAATGCGAGCTAAGGCTACAGTGCACATGCACACAAAACACATCACATCATCCCAATCTTTGTATCTTTGACTCTGCAAATAAAGGGCATTGTCTTTCTGTAACTCGAGAGAGAAAACGAGGTGTAGTAAACACTTGAGTTTACATTTTAAAAGACCAAAATCCAATCGCGGCAATACCTTGAGGTCAGACCGAGGCTTGTGTCCTTTCCTGGTTTAATACCGTCAACAAAGTCACAGCGTGGCGTTGCTTTATTCTCAGGGTGAACCACATTGTATTCATAAGACTGAACAAGGCTTTCATGTCTTCTTTTCATTCCTGCAGATGTAAACCAATAAACTCCAGCAGGATCTAAATATATTCAACACAGGACACACGGCTTTGATCCAGTTAAATAGGAACTCAGTGAATCTCTGTCTGTGTTTGATCCAAAACATTTTTCTCATTCACTAAGCTGACATTAAAAAATGAAGAAAATAAATCTTCAAGGGAGTATTAAAGGCGACTACTTGATAGCTACAGGCTGAAATGTGTTGCTTTGGTTTTATCCCTTTACCTGTTAGAACTGAAAAGCATTTATTATCAATGAGGGCCGTGACCTTTGTTTCATGGCACTCCTCACTATTTCCCACTTTTGTTAATCGATAGTGTAACCAATGGAAACAATGATCACATTTATATCACACTATCCTTTAAGTCTCCAATTAATGAGTTGTGTACAGACACTGTATTTACACATGCCTATTCTATCTAAATACAACCCGAAACATACAAGTGCAGGGATTAATCGCACAGCACGCACAATACTGGCTGAGGCTGGATCAGTGTGCTCACACTGTGATTTCATTCTGGGATGGGGTATAGGAAAAGGCGGCACATGGGCCAGTGACCAGTCAGAGAGGGGGGGGGGCAGTCAATTCTAACAGCAGAAGCCAAGCGGGGCCAGACAGGAGCTCTCGTCTGCTCCAGCCTGTCAAGTGCAGCGGTCACTGTCTCCCCTACTGCCCACAAGCCCTTGACGTGACTCATCTTGGAGGAGAGAAAAACTGCTGAAAGTGCCTCCAGGAGCCATGCTGTTGTCAGACTCTTATCCAGGCTTTATTTTTTTCAAAATATTTGTTAAATATTGTCCAATGCGTGCCACTCAGGAAAATGCTTTTATGAGAAATCTGGTGCAAGCTATGTGCATGTTATAAAAGTCTGTACTTACATATATTGCCCTAAATCAAACTAATTGGACATGGTGCTAACAAGAAGCATTATTACCTGCCAACAATTACACATACAGACGTAGACACATCTGACTGTAATTTATGATTTCAGAGTTAGCATCCGTCTGGTGGCAAATGTCCCTTTAGACTATCAGCAAGACCAAACATGAAGATCAGATGGCACATGTGTCGCCAAGCTGTGATGTGGTGTGAACCGGCTGTGGATGCTTCGCCATGCAACACGACTTAAAGGTTCAGTGTGTAGAATTTAGTGGTAATCTATTGGTGAAGTTGCATGTTGCAGCTGAACACCCCCTCACTTCAGCCTCCCCTTCCTAACATAAAAGGGAACCTGTGGTAATCTTCAGTTGTCATATAACTCAAAAGGTGTATAGTTTGTCAAGTTTTCCAATTTCTGCCAATAGATCCCTTTCACCTAAATTGTATGCAGGCAATCCAAATTTTAAGATGTAGGTAGAGAATGTGCATAATCCAAGCATCAATGTATCTCACAGGCGTGACTACCCCTGCAATATCATTCATGCAGGAAACATTGTTCAGGTTAAAGCTGGTTTGGGCTTTCAGCATTCAGTGTCCAGGAATCCACAGGGTCATGATCCCTCCAGTGGTCAAGTTTGATCCCACTAAGCCACACCACCATGAGCCTGCAGTTTTAATCAGATAGTGTCACTCAGTGATCCTCTAGGGCTGCAGAGCAAACATCTATTCTGCTGTGAGCCAAATCTGTCCACATTTTCCTCATAAAGCCGAAGAAAGGACGTGAGGAGTCTAAAAACTGAAATCTCATGAATACCCACTGTGCACGTTTGTAATGTCACCTCTCGACAGCTGCGCCAAGCACCATGCATGTTGCAGGAATAACACAACCTGAGGACAGACTATCGAGAGCTGAGTTTCAATAGAAGACGCAAACCCTTTTGCACATGTGACATGGAGAGCATACTGATGCTGCACGCACAAAGACATTTCTCAGTGGGGAAAAACATGCACATGCTCCGGGGCTGCACATGAGGATGCACGGTCACATACAGACAGCTGCGTGTCGATGTCTTACCCAAAAAGTAGCAGCGTCCTCCTCCAACTCCAAATATCTCCACACACACACACGCACACGCACACACTTGGCTCCTCCGCTCGGTGCTCGGCTGCCGTCGTCCTCCCTGTGCCCCGCTATGAGTCCGTCCTCCTTCCCTGCGCACGGCGTTAATGTCGTGTCCTCCGCTGACTGACTGAATTGTCCTAGTAATCTCCCGTGAGGTGGGAAAAAACAGAAAGAGTGCCCGGGTTCCGCCTACTGTTGCGCACACACACACGCACGCACACGCGGCGACCCCAATCAAATTACTGTTGGTGTGTACGTTGTGTGAGGGAGGCGCGCGGGGGACACGAGAGCCAATATTAGGCACGCTCCTTTGTTAATCGCGTGGAAATGGTGGATTGATGCGATCAGTTTGTGAAAGGGTCGCGCGCGATGGTTTTTTAATCGTGGGGTATGTCTCATCGTGTTTATGGATTTGCTGTCGTGTTTGCGTTATGAGACAAAGAGACTGAATGAATGTGACGAGACCCCCCCCCGACACACACACACACACATATTCACAAGCGTGCGTTTATTTCATCTATTCGACGGTCCCTCGTTAATTTCCTCCACAACTAAAAATAATATTATATTCATAAAGGACCTAAAAAGGACAAAAAAAACAAGACTTCAAAGCATCGGAGACAAGAAATCTAAAATCAGTGAAGATTAAATATGAAGATGAAAGGCAAAAATTAAACGATTAAAGAAGCATAAGAAGTAGCAAAAGTAGTATCAGGAATAGTATAATCTTTAAGAAAGATAATCCTGCTGCTGTGTCTTTTTTAGAATATACAATCAACAATATAAATGGCTGCCTGAGCCATGTGCCACCAAAGCCCGCTGTTGCTTACGCACACAGGATATACACTCTCTATTTCTAGGTCATCAGCATTGTGATGTCACAACGCCCCGGGTATCTTCATTTCTCCCTCTCTCCTGCAGCTCATAGTCACCGAGGAACACACACACACACCTGCAGTACTATAGGCCTTTATATTCTCAGGGATTAGATAGTCACACATATACACACACACAGGCCTCCCAATCACAGTTTCCTTTAAAGCTGTCACAGCAAACCTGACCTTGTGGAAAGCACAAGGACATTCAACCTCTAGCTGGGACTGTATAAACTCAGCATCTTCTCTGAGCCAGTGGGGAATGGCTACCCAGAGAGGGGAGAGGGCCAGAGATGCTGAGAAAGTGGCTTGAGGACCCCAGAGGTCAGCAGAGGAGCTCAACAGATGCTGTTCAAAGGAAGAATGAAGCCATGCACTTTAATCTGTGGTTTGATTCACTGTCCCCTGGCTGTTCTCTACATACCAGTGAATTTAAGCCTCCATCCACTAATGAGGAGGAGAGAAGAACATCTGGTTTTGGAGGCAGAGTAGTTTCACTCAGCTGAGCTCCCCCTGTTCTTTTCTTTTAATGGTGTGCATAGGCCTCACCTTGCCCTGTCTGTCAGTTTTTAAATGGTGATTCATATGTGAAGTGCTCCAGATGTCTTCATAACTGCCAGGAGCATGTGCACTGCAAGGTGTATCCATAGAAACTGGGTATAGCACAGGTCTGCAGCAGCATTCAACGAAATGTACCGTTTCTGGTCTGTGTTCACCATGTTTTAACCTGCTAGTTTTACAGGCTAGGACCCTCATTTGAAAATTAAGACAAAAAAGCAAGTAACATTTAATAATAGAATATAAAGAATAGAATATAGTAATAGCAGTAATAATAACAATAGTTACATCCCAAATCCTTATCATATCATATCATATGCATAAATATTCACATAGGAAAAATATACATATGCAGATATTACCATGCAAATATAATAATAACAATAATAATAATGATAACAGCCCTATTAGTCCCCCAGTATTCATTCATGAAGTTCATCATTTCAACAATCTTCTTCAATATTCTTCTTCTTCTTCAGGAAGTTACAGAAGATGTTCCATATTTTCCAAAGGATACAAGAGTTGTGTACCAATTCAGGGGCCGGGTAGAACGCGTCCTCTCAAGGAGACGGTCTTCATGGGCCACGTAAACTCTGAAGGCTGATCCAAAATGAGATGGTCTGGTCTACAAAGGCTTTCCATGATCAGTGTCAGCAGCTAGTCCCACCCTTGTTGCTGCTGCCTAGCAACAGAGCTGAAGTTGGACATAACACATAAGTTGTAAAGCCCCTTTTAACGCGTGTACACTTTGTTACCTGCTTGGTTGAGTTGAAGCGAATTTGAAGTTGATATGGGACAGCCTAGTTGCGCCGCTGTGATGTAACCTGTCTTCAAAAGCAGCCTCTGAAGGATGCAGACCCCTGATTTGAGACACAGCTAAGGTATTTGTTTCGTGAACATTCTTTCCTGGGTGCAGATGCTGAAAAGTGATCATTTATTGTTCTAATGTAGTTTTAATCTTTGATAACTCTTTCCAGAAGAATGTACAATTGCAAATTCCTAGAAACAAAGCTGCAAGTCAACTGCACTACGAGCACAATTGAACCTAAGGTATTATATCATCAGAGCAGTCCACCCCTCTGAACAGCTTTGAACGGGTTTCTGAAAACAATAGGGGCCTGTGACTTCTGGGAGGTCATGCAAACCAGAGTAATAGCTCAATACCTCTGACTTTGCAAATACATAAGTGGATTTATACGTATCAAAGGCTGGTCTAGAAAAGAAAACAGGCCTATTATTTTCAAACTGTACAAATATCCTCTATTTTTTTCCAGAGGCTGTTACTGTCCTGCACCAAAAATCTGGAAAGATTACAGCAAATCTTGGTCGAGTGGGTCACAACGAACAAGTACAATTTTGGTGCAGATCCAGGTTTTAGGTTTTTTCACTTCATCTAACATAATAAGAAAGACAATTTTTCATTAATTTCTCAGAGAATAATTTATGGATCTTGATGAAAAAATCTGCCATGTTTAAGGGACTGTGCAGAGCCAAATAAAAATCAGGATCTCTTGAGTTTAAATGTGGTTTCTTGAGGGGCTGTCGGGCCTTGGCGGAGGTATATGCTCTCTGAGTAACCTTCTAGTTTGGTTCCCTCACATCTACGGAGCATCGCCGCCCCCTGTCCGCCCTCTGCAGCCCCACAGCCCCGCCCTGCACGGAACATCATTAGCGTGGAAAAGGAAGAAAAGATCTCATCACAGACCACCAAACACATTCATTTTATTTTGCTGAGCCCTGCTGGATGAGGCTGTAATCAGACTCAATTAAGGTCGATCTCACAGTGAATTCTTCACTTGTGGAAGAGATGCCGGTCACACTGTGTGATTATCCAAAGCAGTATGGTCCACTCACGGACGAGCAGGAAACGTAGCCATGTTGTGGAAGTTACGTAGTTATGCAATAGCCTGACGGTTTGAGAGAGCTGGTGCTTTATGTGGCACTATAGGCAGTTTGGTAATGCCCTGTGAATTAAGCATGCTGGTGACTCATATTCATGCTGCGTGAACATCGGTTAACACTGACAATACTTGACATGTTGTCCCGGGGGGCTGTACACATGAGTCCACATGTAGGTGTTAAAGAAAACTACATACCAGCTCAGTCCATCAGTTGTGTTTAAATGAATAAATATGAAGGAAGAGAAGAATATGATCTATCATCATATAGGTCATAACAGTCTTTTAACCAGGTTTGTATTGGTTTACTCAACAACATCAGCAGTGGCTTCACTAAAGGATAGAATATCCTGGGGGATTCTAACACACACATTTTTAAAAATCAAATAAATTAAAATGAGCCTAAAACTCAGTCATGAATGATTTATTTTCATGCAGAATTGCAGAAATGATGTTGATTTCCGAAAGTAGGCTTTTTTTTCTTCTTGCCTTTAAGTTGAGAAAGACTTAATTGCTACTTCAGCCTAAAATACAACAAAGTTAAGTTAAACTAGAGGTGCACTTGGAGAGCACATCCTCCACCAAGGCTAACACTCAAGTGCTAACACAAAAGTGCTCCAAAATGTAATGGCTTCTTCCTCAGCGCATGTTCCACCCCTGGAAATCAGTTCAGTAGTTTTGGCATAATCTTGCTAACAAACAAACAAATGACAATTAAATCACTGGAATGGCCTCTGCTAAGCCCCAACAGTCCTCTTAAATTCAATCAAGCTGCACCATATTTCACACACAAGCATTAATCCATGAATTATTTCCTGGGAAATCAGTGAAAATGTCAAAAAAGGTCTCAAGGAAAGAACAAAATACACCAAAAATGAATAGGTTCTTCCCTGATCCATACCGCAGAATTCCACCAATTTTCACGATAAACCATCCTGTAGTTTTTGTGGAATCCTGCTGACTAACAGAAAAAATGCAGATGTAGCCACAACCTCTTTGATGGAACTGATAGAAGTTCAAAAGAACACATTGCTCACATTATGTCACAACAACCTAATATAGATGAAGGATCAAATCAATAGAAAGTGGCCCATCCGGCCACTTCCACAATCCACAGTCGTTGACAATCACAACTCAGTGGACACTTTTCATTTTACCGTCTTCATTAATGTAAAGAGTTTGCATATGGCTATAGCTGTCATTAGATTAAAGCAGACTAAATCTCTCTCTATATATAATTAATTAAGACAATTTCATGTTATAGAAGATTTAAGATTACACAAGTCACATTGGTTGAAAAAAAAAACCTGCCAGATTGTAAGCAACTGTAAATGTTACGTAATGCTGCAGTGAGCTCAAGTAATCAGGGAGTTTCTGAAGCATTTATCAGGAGGAGACATCTGTCATACCAAGAGGACGCTGTTTGTTATTCTCTGCAGACTTCAATCATGTGAGAAAGTTTTTACAGAAGAAGTTCACAAAGTGTCCCCTCTCCTACTCACACAAACACATAGCTGGGCCACCTGCCCATGCTTCTCTTTTACCATCAAAGACGCACACGCCCGCACACATGCACACTCTGTAGGATACAGAGCATCCTGAGCATTATTCCTCTCTGTGGGAGGAATTCCCTGAAGGAGAAGCCTTTGCCATTCCGAGAGGGAGCTGAAACACAGAGGCCCAAAGAGGTAACAGAGTCACAGATTCAAATTATGAAAGAATGCACATATTCGAAGATAAGAGTTTCAAAAAAATCCTTCTCTGATTTGGCTTGTAATTATTTTGTCCCCTTCATGGAACACATTCTTTCATTAGAAAAATGAAATGTTCTTTTTCTGCTACTTTGTTGTGTTTAGTCACCAAGACATATGTTAAAAATATTATTTTTTAATACTTTTGTATGGTAATGTGCTATTAACATGAACTTGAGTGTTTGTTTGTAAATCTCTATTCACCGTGGACCTCGGTCCAGTAATTAATGTTGGTTAGTTATCAATGATGATATTAGTTCCAGATCACTATCATGTTGTGTGTTTTGAGTTCATGCTGGTTGTTTGGTTCTGTGGATAGAAATAGCCATGGTGTTAATCAATTCACTATTTTGGTCCAAGCTGAATGATCTCATCCACCATATTGGATGGATTGACAGACGATTTTATCATGAGCCACCAGAAGGTTAAGTTTTTTTCATTCATCTGAAGGGAGTGGCACCAAGTTTTTACAGAAGCATTCATGGTCCCCAGATGATTTATCCTGGTCTGCCCATACCCTTTCCTCTACTTCCACCATGAGTTTCACTTTTGTGGTTTTAAGTGAAATGTCTCAGCAGTAAATCCATCCAACAGTTATTGGATGAATCCTGATCCACTTTCATGACCTACAAAGATCTCAAGGATGGAGGGTTCTCGCAGTTTTTTAAAAATGCATTCAGTTTAATTTATGTAATCTTACTTACAAACAAACAAACGGACAGGTGAATGTCCCAAATATGAAGGAAGTTCTCACATTCTCAGCTTCTCCTTGAAAGTTTGTCCACTTTTCACATCGTTAGTGTTTGCTGCTCAGTACAAATCCTTGAGGATTGATTGGATGCATCACAGGCCTGCAGCACCTGAAGGAAAGAACAGGAGGGCTCATGTGTAAAAGTAAGTCCCGGTCTCCTGCTGCAGAAATGAACTCTGCATGAACTTGCTTGATCAGCCACTCATGTTTTTTGACTGTGCACACGGTTGTGAAACAGATATACAACATTTACACATAAATGCAAATTTGCAAGGTAAATTGAGACAGAGAGAGAAAACATAATTGGTAAAAAACATAATCCAAGTTTGACTTATGAGACCTGATTGAATTCATTTTCTTTTGCATGCATATTATGCACAATACTGGTCCATTCTGGCCAATGGAGCAATGTAGAAGCTAAACCTCAAATCTCCACACAGATATTATCAGGGAGCTGTATTTAAGGCCTCGTGGGAGAAATATCCAAAACATTTTTTTGGAATAATAAGTAAATAATAAAGTAGAAATACTTGGTTTTATGAATGCTTAGATGTAATAATACCCCAGAACTCCCTCTAAATGAATGTGTGGATCACAAGTTCCTCCGTTATTGAATTCACTTCTCTTGTGTTTGGACAGCTGGCCCCGACTTGCCTGCATGAGACGAGTGTTATTACCAGTGTGGTTTCTTCTGTTTGTCGTGTACTTGTTTCAAGTGAAGTCTTAAACGTATTTCCTCTCTGATCCCTGCGGAAAGAAACACAAACACGCCGGATGTAGACAAACACGACACAGTACAGCATGTCCTCCATGGATGGATGCAGCATCACCCCGCTCTACCTGACATGTCTCTGTTTAAAGTGACAACACCTGCTGGAGTCACTGCAACTGTTTGTGTACAAACACGACAGACGGTTGTGTTTTCTATGGAATGTGAGTCACAAACAGAACGTTTTGGTTGTAATGAGCTGAGGAGGGTCATCAGGTCACAGCAGAGATTCTCTGAGATAAATTAACCGAACGGCTCGAGCACCAGCTTTTCATCAGATAAGGGGAGGAGAGAAGTTCATGCTCAAATATTCAGTTTCTTTTAAATCCCTCCTGTCTCCCCTCATACTTCATGCAATCGTCTCCTTTCAGTTTTTCTGCTGCATGAGCCTCACTTCTCGTTTTTAGCTTTTCCATGTTGCAACTCAACATCATCACATTTTTTTCCACATGACATTATTATTGTTATCATGTGTGATTCCATTTGTCATTATTTCCCTACATCCTGGATGAGAGCAGAAACTTTTAACTAAGGAGTGTTTTCCTTTCCAGATCTGACTGTAATGTTGTTCTGACATTGTGTGTATATTAGTTATAGTGTATAGTAGTATCAGAAACCTACAGTAAATAAAACCATCCATTGTGAGCTCAGTGAGAAGATGCAGCACGGCAGATACATATTTCTACAGCTGTGAAATTAAAGTTAGACACTAAAACAAAGTGTAATATTAAAGCTGCAAAACTGTTCATTTTGGCAAAATGAAGGATTTAAAAGAGTGCTTGTGTGTGTGTGCATGTGTGTGAATGAATATGTGCAGTCTTTTAAGCCATCACAAAGTTATAATGCAACAAAACCACGAAAGACAAGAATATGTAATGTATAATCTAAAATATAGAATATAGAATATAGCTATACAATATAAAATAGGGAATATAGAATATAGGATCATGGCTGTTTTGGGGCCGCAAAGGGAGTGTGTGAGCTGAAATACTATTTGCAACACATTCTCTATACATTCCGGACATAATGTACATATGTCGGCCTCATCCTCTCACACTTTTATTCAGCACAAGTGTTGCCTCTGACTGTGTTATGCAAAACGGCTTAGTCAACTGACACAGATTCTGGTAAGCTGAGCTGGTGCCATGCTGAAAACTGAGTAGGCATTCACAAATGTCCCTGTGTGACAGTGAGCGTGGTTCACTTTGTGCTGCTGTGTTAATCAACAGGGACATCAAAGCTGTCTCTCTGCTACTACAGGGTCAGTAAACCTGTCACTCAAGAGGAGACCTGAGTCAAACCTGGCATCCTTCCCCTCCGCACCAGCTGGAGAGACACATGCAATCCTGCTAGAAACGATGGGAGGGAATTTCTTCAGGGAAAAAAACATTTTAATGATTCAAATTAATATCGAGCTGGACCATTGTGCGTGTTGCATCATGGTCCCAATGCCAGTGAGGTTAATCCCCCGCCCCCTCTCAATCCCACCCTGTGCTATAGCAGCAGCGAGGACATCATCATGTCCCTGTGGGACAGGCAGTGTGAGGGCGGCTGCTGATGTAAGCTGCAGCACAGACCACAACCACAGCAAAACAAAAATAATTAATCTGACAAAAAGTTAGTAATACATAAAAGATAAATCAGCAACGGAAAAACTAATTCATCATCACTGATATACAACATCAAAATCACAGACCCAAATATTTTCTAATAGAGTTTCAAAAGTTAAAGGATGAAGTTTTAGGTTTTTGTGTAGGTCATTGTGTAATTTAACCTTCACTTGTGATTGGTTAATTTAATTGAGTACATTTAACGATATAACTCAAATCGTATTGATTCAATTTATTTCAATTTAATTCAGTAAAAAAAAGTTTTGTTGATCATGTTTGTGGTAAAAACAAAACAATTAAAAAAACCATAATTTTTTTATGTGGTATATAAAGCCCAGGACTTAAAGAAGGATAAAAGAACCTTCTAAAGATGACACTGCCCCCTATTGTTCAAAATTAGAATGGATTTTTGCACTTAAAAATATTCTGAAAATGCAACACAGGTATTTACAACACAGAGGAGATTGAAATCCAATGCTGGAATTTTGGATTAGATCATTGGTTCAAAGTCTAAAAAAAATACATAAATTAAAAGAATTCCCCTACATGGATAAACAATTCTATTCTGGGTATTTATCCTCACACAGCAGAGGGTAGGCCAGAGCAGCCCCATCTCTGTGGTGTTTCACACTTCGTCTTCAAACTGTCTATTTCAGTTCACGGAAATAGCAAGAGGAAGGAATGCAACATTTTTTGGGGGCATCTTCAAAAAAAACAAAAAAACACTGGCGTTCCCACTGAAGAGTGAGCTGGTGAAACATGCCAAACACTGAGCCCCAGGACAGAGGATATGAAGCCAGCCAGGGAGCGTCTGGCACGAAAACTGGACAACATGGCCACAGGTAGTTAATAATCTGAAGTCTTTCATAAACTAAATTTTATATCCTGCACATTTTATTAACAGTTCATTTTCAATAACAATGCACTACTGACTCATCTGTGTGATTATAACCTGCCACCGATAACATTAAATGAATCATATTGTACAACAGAGGAGTCTGGAGCTGCACAGTGTGAAGGATACTGAAACGTCAATGCTCTCTCTTCTAAGTCCCTGAAGAACCAGACTCAACCTGCAGACCAACCATGAAATGAGTCAAAGTGCATTAGGTTAACAAGGATTATTATAACTGGAAGTATGGACGCATTAAATACTGGAAATGGAAACAAACTAGTGTTGTGTTGAAGAGTACTTCCTCTAAAGCTGTCACCACTTTGACCATTGATGCAAATCACAAGTGTGAAGCTCAGTAACTGTGCTCCTCATTCTCAGCCTCCACCATGAGAAGTTACAGTATGAAGAAAAAGTTTCCAGTGGTCCACTGTAGTTTTTAAAACCAGATTGAAAACTTTTTTATCCAAGTTCTTTTAACTGAACTATTTTACAAGCTCATACCATCCATGTACTTGTTCTAGGTTTCATTTTACAGTTTTACACTTATACTTTATATGTCTTTTACTTCTTTTTACTTTTTTTATTCCCCACTTTTGTGTGTATTATTTTGCTTAAAGTCTTGATTTGGTTTCCCTCCCTCTCCTCTGCTCTTCTTCCTGTCAGTGTTGATGCCTGAGTGTGACCCTGAGTTCCTGCTCCTCCATGCTCTTCTTCCAGGCAATCACCCCCTGCAGGAATATAAGAAACGATCCACTTATCTTGTGGTATTCTTGATCTACTCTTTTTTTTTTCTTTAATGGTATTTGGAAAGATTGTATTTTTGTGCCTGACTGCTTGTGTCCTGTTTTTGATCTTCATAATGGGACATTTGTTTCACAGTGAGGAAAACTTCACAGATGTATTAGTGAGCACGGAGATCAGTTTTAATTATCACAACTATTCTTTTGGATTCTCACACAAACAGAAGCCCAAAGCTGATCCACATAAACATATGTACTTACATTCTAATGCATGGACATGTTTATCAGGACACACCTTTTAGGTGACAAAATATCAAGCTATTTTAAACAAAACTACCTTTTATACATATAAACATGATAAAAAAAAAAAATTCTGTACAGGGAAAGAAGTTAGTCACAGTGAGATCATTTGGCCATTAAAGTAGAGAGTCTCAGTTCAGTGTGATGTCCTATCTCTCTCCAGTTCACTCGAACCCATTGAAGCCTGCAAACATGGCCTCATGAGCCTCGTAGGTGTCGTATGGTGAGAGTTCATATGACTGACTACCCATGCCGGTACCCATGGTCCTGAACGAAGCCTGCGGGGAGAGGAAGAGGAAGAAAAGAAGTCGAGTGATTAGAGGAGACAGATTGGACACAGGTTCCCCTCAGGTAACACTGCTAATTACTTTAAGAGTGAAAAAGACAGACATTCATACTCCATCTGTTAGGAGCTGCTTAAGTATTAGGATTACTTAAAATAAGATTTTGAGAATAAAATTGTGATATTACAGGAATAAAATCCTAATTTGAGGCTGCTTGCCATCTTCTGATAACAGACTATCAGCCTGTCACCTGCCTTGAGATGAGGAGTGTGGAGCATCTTGTTAATAAAAATAAAAAAACAATTAACCTTTTGGTGCATTAGCACCACATTATCATAAGTAGCAGGACTTTTGAAAAGATTTTGCAAGAAACTATTCCTAAGAAAGAACTATTAGAGGAAGTTGCCTCTTTTGTGGAGGAATAAATGTTTGGACGTGTTCGACCGCAGGGTTTTCCATACATCTACAAGATTCTGAAAGAGGTTTTGCAGTTTCTTCAGAAACAACTATGGCCCTAATAATACACATACAAACCATTTATCCAAGACACGAGATAGTGTTTTTTTGAATAAAAGAAATGAGGAAATAATAGCTGATGTGAATTATTGTTACCGAGGTAGGAGCAGTGATTTCCTGTTGGTAGTATCCCAGACCTCTGCCCTCATGCCAGCCCATAGCTGGAAATATTTTGTTCGCAATGTTATTGGTTGTCAGGCCATCTTTGGTGGGTTGGTCATAGTTTCTGTTAAGGTGGATGAGAGTAACATAAATAGATGCGGATAAAATTGTTTGCAGGGTGAGTTTAACTATAAGCTCTTACAATGGAGGTTGACAAAATTCCCCCGTGGCTGCATAAAAACTGGATTTCTCCCTCCTCTCTGCAGCTCTGTCTCTGTAATTCAGCTGTTAAAATGACCAAGAAACATTAGTGATCGTGTGCACATTCATGAAACTACAGAAGGAGAAAAAGTGGAACAAATCCTTCAGTCAGATACCTCAGCCTCTCTCCTCCCCAGCTCAGCCACTGAAAACCTCGTTCGTCTCTGAATCTCCAAATTTTGCTTCAACAGTTAAAAAAAAAAAAAAACTTTGTCAGATAACAAATCCCGATCAAACAACTAAGATATCCAGTTCACATCTATATTCAAGACAGTTTTAAGATCTATCAAATCAATCCATTTTGAATTTAAGCTTCATGCATCGAACAGATGGCAGCTCCCTGACTATTTGCCACTTGCAGATTCAACACCTGCTGTTTGACCATCCTCACCTTGTGGAGGTCAGAGTGCTGCTGGTGACGCAGCAGGGCCTCTTTGGTGGGGAACTGCCGTTGACACAGCAGGCAAACTATATTCCTCCAGTCTGTTATATTGCCCTCCTCGTCCGCTGCTCTATACATGCTGCCCTCCTCTGGGTCATAGTTGCCATTGTAATAAACAAACGGGTCACTCTGCAAAATGAAAGCATATAAAACTGAGTGTTCTGGTGTTTTTTTCCTGGTGTTCTTAGGCATAATTGTGAAGTAGATAAATAAAGACAAAAGGAAAACCTTGGTCTCCTGCTCCGGGATCTTGAATTGTTCGATCCTGAGTGAAGGCATCTCAATATCTCCAGTTTGCTGAAAGGAAACTAATCTCATTAACATCAAATCCTTTGTAATATATTTTAAAATTGTTCAGAAGAGAAAGCCAGTCCCTCATTTTATGTTAACTATGAATAAGATGTTACTATTCATGATGATAGCTAAAAACCTTTTTTACTATAATAATAATACTAATTTGTATTAGTGTGTCGGTATTTTGTCTGTCTTGTCTATCTGTGCTCTTCAAGTCGGTATTAGAAGCTTCTCTACACTTATTTAATACAAAAAGAACATGGGTCTCACAATGACTTCTACACTACCTTCTTCTCGAAGAGAGAGAAACCTGCGTCAGCAGCTGCAGACCATTTCTCGTTTTCCTCTTTCGACTTCTTTTTTTTCCTATTCAATTTTTTTGTCCATCGTTCCATGTTCTCTGCAATCTGAAATTTGATTAATTATCACTTTTAAGTTCAAGGAAAAGATAATGGCCATTAACAAAAACAGATGTTTTAAATAAGTAACATTTACCTGCTGTGCAGACTTTGTTTTTGACTTCTTTTTTCCTTTGGGCTCTTTACTGCTTGAACTTGGTTCTGCCATCATGTCTGCTGTCGCCATGACGTACGTCTGCTTCTCACCGTCCCAGTAGAGGAACTGCTGAGTCTCAGGGTTGTAGTAGTACTATTATTGACAAAAGAAGCACTATATTAAATAACAGTTCTGGTTAAAATAACTGTTTTTGGCAGGATGTTCTGTACACCAAGTAATACATACTTCGCTGCTGGGATCATAGTAGAGACCAGTCTCAGGATCATGATAGTAACCTGAAGCCTTGTCATACTTGTATGTGGACATATCAGGGACAGCTATAGACAACAAGAGTAGCATGTGTAAAACAAAACATGTTCTAAACCACATAGATTAAAAGATATTCTTTAAAGATAGAGATATTCTGTAGCTGATCTCTATGAACAGGTTCTGCATGAGAATATGTAGAATCTGGAAGCAAAAACAAGAGTTTGGGGCTGAAAATCATATGGGTTACTTTTCAACTCTGAGCAGACTTTGGTTGCCAGTAGACTCATTATCAGTTTAGACAGCAAAAGAGGTGGAAAACATTGACCCAAATGTGGCTTAATAAATGTATCGGCATTCATATTCAGATAACGGTTAAAAGAGATGAGCTAAACTGTCGAGGACCTAAAACACCAACAAAATCAAGGGGAACTTGGAGAGTGAACGATGTACTGCGAACAGATGACTGAGTCTTGGCTTGGATGTCCACTGTCTACACCAGAAGCCGCAAAATATTGCCCATTTCCCCCAGAGGCCAATTGGTTGTCATACGATAGCCGATTGGATCCAAGTTTGTTCTGTAGCTCACTCATCTCACCTGACGTGTTAACCGTTGGGGAGGCAGAAACTGTAGTTGCAACAGAAGAAGCAGCTGGTGTGGCCAGTGATGCAGTGCAAACACTTGCAGGCTGCTGCTGCTGCTGCTGCTCTGCATCAACCACCCTCTCTACATGATGCGACTGAGAAGACAGGGGGGTTCATGATAAGCTTCTGAATCAATCACAAAAAGAGTAAATAGTACATTTCTGTTTGCAGTATATAGATGCCACGTTGCAACACCGTCTACCTGTATGGCAAGCTGGCTGATAACGTCAGGTTGGTAAATTTGAGCGGTCTGGGATATGACCACATCCGTGGCTGCAGGGAGCAAAGTGTTCGTTCCTGGAGCAGCTGGAAAAAGTGATGATTTCAATTCAGTTTCATCGTCAGTAGAAAATTGACAAATATATCAGTGATAGATCGACACCTCATATTACCTCCAGGCAAGCCATCTCCATTGACAACAGACGATCCTTCCTGCTGCTGCTGCTGCTGCTGCCACACCTGATAATTCTGTTCCTGCGTCACAAGAAAAACTGTTTGGTAAATTGTTATAACTTATTTCTTTGTCACCATCAAGTGTGTGAGTGTGAACTGACCTGTGACTGCTGCGAAAAGCCCTCTGGAAGAGGAAAATAGTCAGAGGTGGCATCTGAACCTGGTGGTAACTAAACAGATATGACAGGTATGTGAGGTAAACACACAGAAAACCTTATTAAAACATGCCTAGATGTATTTGCAAATACAACTCAGTTAACCATCTTTGTAGCTTAAAGACGGAATATTATAATACTAATAAAAATACTTATAAGTGGAGCTTAATAATTCATTAAGCTGTTGGTCTCTCTGGCAGCCAAATAAAACCGTATATAACAAATACACTTCCACAAAACAATTGTACTCTGCTTATCTGGTGTGAAACAGAGGAAAACCTAATACCTGGCTGGATGACCACTGGGCGGCAGTGATGGCAGTGCTGGCAACTGAATTAACATTGGCTTGCACACCACCAGGCTGTGCTCCATCTCTGGAGAAGACAAAGTGATTATAGTGAAACTCTCATTTAGCAACAAACGCAGGGAGAAAATAGAAAACATTTTATTCAATTATAGATAGATACAACAAAAACCAATTTATAAACCATATGTGCAGGATGTGGGAGGTAAAGTTCCCTACAATGTGAAGTGTGCTATTTTGTACAATATTCTATTCATAGAAAGCTATGTAGTCAAACCCTGTGTGTGTGTGTGTGTGTGTGAGTGTTTTGACTTGCTTTCTAACATTCTCGGCATAATCCACAGCAACTATTTTTCCATCCAGTTTTAGAGGTGGCTGAAGGCTTTGGAGGACGGTGAGCAGCTGAGAAGCCTCCTTCAGAAGTGAAGACACAACATGGTCACATGTATGTAAACCCCCTCCCCCGAAAAGGCACAGTGACTTACATACTGACTATAAACATACCAAGGGAGATGAGAGTTGGACAAAGCCAAAGCCTTTGTGATTTCCTGTATGCTTGTCTCTGATGAGGCAGAGTTTGCTCTCGGACAGGTTAGCATACGGGGACAATATGTTCAAAATCCCATTGATAGTTGAAATCGGGGCTATATTTCTCATAATTAATGCTGTTGACAAAAAACAAGTAGTCATGACTAAATGTAGAATATGTACAAGATGGTGGAAATATTTCAAAACCCACTCACTGTCTCCATTGTAATCGCTATCCTGTTGAGACTCCACATTTATACTATTTACTGCAGGGCACTCTCCATCTATACTCAGCAATGACACAGTGACAGAATCTGTGAGTTAGAACAAGAAAGCAGGACAAAGCAGAAGATTCTCATAGAGAAGAAAAAACCAGACGTTTACTGGGGAAACAACTCACCAACTCTTGCTGTTCCACATTTGAAACACCTGAGCCTTTCCCAGAAATTGCACAGGCCACACTGTGAAAAAACAATGACATTATCTTACTTCTATTATAGCAATAAATAATATAGTAAACTTTATTTATAAAGAAGAATGTACGGCGTTAGAAGATCAGAGTTAATTGGGTGTGTTTCCAGAATGGGCCTTAAATGTTATGGACATAATCTTAAAATCAAGTTTACCAGGAGGCCAATGAAGTGACACTAAAATGTGGTTAATGTGCTCTCCTTTGTTTTGGTGAGGGGTCTGGATAAGCTGTAATTTATATACATTTTGCTGATTCAGACAGATGTTGAGTGAGTTACACACACTCACCGAATTGCAAAGCCAGTTTTTATACATGGGCTCTTTTTTGCTGTACTGGACTGAAATGCATTTCCCCTGGATCACCAACTTGTTCTGTAAAGATAAAAAGCAGTCATTTTGGACAAGTTTCAGCTAAAGAAGCAGGTAAGGTCGTGTCACTACTCCACCACATGAGTGAGAGCAGCTGGAATGGGAAAGAGTGGCTAGGCTTACACTTGCAGCTCAGTGTTGAGTGTCTAAAGGAGCAGAGGCAGAAAGAGAAGTTCAGAGAGAGAGATGCAGTACCGTGTACGAGGAAAACGTATCCTCATAAAAACAAATGGTTCTAAGTGTTAGGGAACGGAGTGCTGCCAGCTCATTCTTGTCTCAACTCCAAGTCTTCAGGTTTTAAATGGAGATGAGAAAATATCCATGTGACTGAGCTGGAGCAGAATGTTCTATGAAACCACAGGGCAAACAGAAATCAACAAGACAATTTTGGCATTTTAACAGAAATTCTAATCATGAATTAGAGGGGCAACAGAGTTTCAGATCTTTATTATTACTCTTCATTATACTCTTCTATTTATAATGATTAAAACATGAATTCACATGGTGTATGTAACAAAGCAGCTGAAAAAGTATACTTTTTAAACAAAACAAGATAACAACCATGTGTGATATAAAAAATATTTACTTCTGACATCACAGTTTTGAATGCCCTAGCTAAATACAAACAGATATCAGCTCTAAACTGGTATCAAGGCTCTTATCTCCAAGAATAATTTGAAACTTGGTGATTGTTGAGGCAACCTGATTGGTCTCCATCCATTGGGTAGAATCTTGCAAGTGATAAAACTCCATGAAGGCGAAATCTTGGATTTTTCCTAGAGACAGCATTCAAATATAAACGGGAGATGTGTTAGAATGCTTTGATGCAATATTCAAACTCAAACTCCAATTCAAAGTAAGAATTGCAGGTGGGAATCGTGCTTATAAGGTCAACGAGGTGGTAATGCATTTTTGTTATCATAGCTTGTAATGTTTCTTAAATGATAAGAGGTTTAGCACATACAGTACCTGACCATGTCATCAAATCAGACACAAACGATCCATGGAAGGTTGTAATATGAAGCTTTTTTTTCTAAGAATAGCCATAGGGAGGTTAAGTGGGCTTTAAGCCAAAGCACGTGGGTGAAGGTGAGAAACACTTCTAAAAAAGAAAAACTCACTTTTCCCAATGAAACGTATGCCCACAGGCTGCGGCCCCGGCAACTTTTCGAGTGCTGCGCGGACCTGGAAGAGAGACGCTGATCAACAAATTTATCTGACTTTGAATGTCTTTTCTCACTGTTTTCCTGTTATTCAAGTATCTTCAATAAGATCAAGCTCAGACTTTCCAACCATGAAGCCATTTCTCTTTTTTATTTTGGTTCTTCAAAGGATAGTCCTTCAAGGGATAGTATAACTGAAAAATGAAAAGTGTTTGAGTCCACAGAACAACTTAGGAGTCTCAGGGTTGAAGTTTGTTAGAGCAGAATCCAACACAACTGAAGTAACTGGTGACCAAATCTTCGGATGTTATTAAACAACAGAAAAACAATAACATGCCTCAAGACTACTCATGTGGTGTCATCCAAGTGTCTGCAAGCCCCGACATTCATATTCGACTTAAAATGGCGTCATTTCCTACAAGTTTTAAGCCTAAACTTCCACTGATATCTCCCCAACGTGGTACATTCAGGGACCATCAGAAATGCTATCGTCCGCTAGCTTAGCCACTTCTGGTGAACTTTGAGGTTTGAAACACGGTTTGAAGCATTTGGTGTGAACACACCATAACAACATTCAGTGCGACTCTACCCTTTAGAAGTATGAATGAGACTGAATGAAAAGTTTGAGCTTACTTCATCCTCTGTGACATAAGGAGGGAGACCTCTTAGAAAAATAGACGTGTTCTTCTCCTGCGGCTCCATTTTGTAGTCCTGATTTGGATGACTGAGGCGTCGTTTTCGAAAGAAGGATCTACTCCTTCTTATTTTGTGGCAATCCATGTGATCCTTCCACTTATCTGAACCATATCTACCGCTTTGTTCGCCCCGAATGAGCCTGGAAAAGAAATAAACTTCAATAACCACTCTATGATTGTATGCATCCAACACCCAATGCAGTTTCAGTCTGCATACATTTCTTTTTCGAGACTCACATGTGGTCACTGTGACCTTTGACCACTGAAATATAGTCAGGTCATGTATGACTTCAAGTGACAACGGATCAAATTTTGAAGATATTCCCTAAGGACAGACTTGAGAAATCATGTTCAAGAGGCCAAAAACAGGCTTTGTGAGGCCAAAATCGAATCAGTTAATCTATGAGTCTAAATTTGTGCCATATTTAAAATGATTCTCTTGAGGAAATGTTAAAATAAAGCTTTCACCAAAACATGTGGTCCCTTAACTGTGAACTTCGACCACAAAAATTTAAATCAGTTCATCTGTGAGTCCAAGTAAAACTTTTTAAGAAATTTGAATGAAATCCCCCCCAAGGTGTTCTTGTGATATCCCGCTCACAAGAATGGGACGGACACAGTCAGAAAGCATAATGTCGCCTCCCGGAGGCATAGAGTCAGAAGCTCCAGTGACATCAATTTGTGAAGAACCTTGAGTTTGTGCAAAAACAATGGATGACTTAAATCTTACCTTTTATCAGTGCCCATGGTTGATCAAGAGACTGTGGCGGGAAAAAACAAGAGTAACATAACCACTGAATTAGGGCTGGGCAATGAATAATATCAATAACTATCACAATATACATTTCCTCTGTGGCAACGTTACAAAAGTTATAAATATTGAAATGGTGCTTATAACATACAATTGATCTATTTGAGACGACTATCAAGTGTTTGTCATTCTCCGCTCATACAAGAGTTTAAAATCACAGAAACAATAGACTATCAATTATTGTGATAACATAATATAATATCGTGATATAATTGTGGCCCTTATCGCCCAGCCCTACATCGAATCACTTTCAAAAACAGTTTTTAACATCAGTAAGAGAAAAAGTGAACAGAAATAAACAGGTTGAAGGTTTGAGGTTATTCATTTTTTTCTCTGTGCAGCCTTGTTATGGATATTTCCAATGTTTAACTCCAGAAACGAAACTGGTGATTTTCAATAGAACTGAGCTACAACTTTACTGGGCGTGTGTTGCTCACAAATGTTGTTGACATTAGCATTAAGTTAAAGTGCGAAGGGACATCACTCAGGACATCGTCACATGAACAAGAAAAACACAGGAGGCTGTTTCAGATGCTGTTTGTCACACCTCAACTCAAATATACCGCTCTCTCAAAGCCAGAACCACAAGACTGTTAAACAGCTTTACCCACAGGCCATCCAAGCCATCACCCCACCCCCACCCATATCTTCAAAGGACTGTTAAACAACAAACACACACATACACACACACACACACACACACACACACACACACACACAGTAATTTTGCATAAACATATCATGCAATAATCCTCAGGTGGACTGTCAGGTTGACTGTCACCTTTCATCTTGCACCTTTCTTGCAAATTACGCTGTTACACTTTATTTATGTTTATTTTCTTTCGCTGTGCTTTTATAAAAAAATGTACATTTAGATTTTTACTTCTTGATTCTTGTTCTGATTTCTAAAAGTCAGATAAATGCTGCTGTAACGAGAAGAGCTGCTGAAACAGTTTTCACTGTTTTAATGTTGGTGACAATGTTGAACACTGACAATAAAGGATTCTGATTCTGATATACGCTCGACTGCTCGTTTCACGTTCAGTTGCTTGTTTTAAGTGTGACTAGCCTTGAGCCCTCTGCTAGCACCAGAACACACAGGCCCCTTCAGCAGCATCGTTAGAACGACGTTAGCTGGAACCTGTCTTGTCTCACACTAGCTGAAAAAAGACGCAGAGCCATGTCTCCTTCAGGGTCGCCTACCGATTTCACATCAGCTCGACGGGTGCAGCAGTGGACGAGTAACAGAGGCTCTACAGGGTTCTTTTCTCCAGAGCTCTTCTGTTATTCTTTTTCTTCTTCTTCTATGAGGTTTTTATGGAAGCTGGCATCCAAAGTGTTGCATTACTGCCCCCTTCAGCTTTCATTCTTCCTCTATTTTAAAGTCTTCTCTTCAGTCCAGTCTCTTAAAAATAATCTAAATAACACTTTCCTCCCTGGGTGATGGTATCAACGTTCTAATATGCTTTGAACAGTGTTCAATATTGCTCCTGTTGTGCGTAGTTGATCTGTCAGTTCTTTCCTTTCTCTTGTAGATCTCCTCGTGCTGTACGTGTGTTCTACTGTTTCTGATTCTAGACATTGGTCACAAATACATGTTGTGTGTTTTTCTATCATATGAAGTGTACTGTTGAGGTTACTTTGCCCAGTTCCACTACTACTTGTTCTTTCTGTCTCATGCCCCTACTTCTTGGCATATTGACTATATTCTGGATTGACTATAATGTCTCCTTTAGTTGCCCTTTCCCAATGTTGTTACCACTATTGAGTTGCTTTCCTGCATCTGCATCTGATTCCAGGACACTCATGCCTGCTGAGAAGAATTACCATCTCGACAAGTTTTATTTTATTTTTTACATTTCTTTGTGTGGATGGAAGAATTGTGTTGAAAATATGTACTAAGTGCACTTAACTGTGAGGGTTCAAACCCAGAACAGCAAGAATCATGTAAGTACATTTGCTTTAAAAAAGCAAAGTGCTACATTTAAGTGCAACAAACGTTTTCTTTTTGTTTGGCCACAGCGCTGAAATAAAACCCAGTGATGTTTGTATTTTTCTGGTAAATGGTTGTATTTATATAGTATTTTACACTACAGTTTGCCATTCACCCTTTCACACACTCATTCATACAGTGCATATATTAGCAGCTCTTTTTGTTGTTCTATGGGGCAATTTGGGGTTCAGCATCTTCCCCAAGGACACTTTGGCATTTAAATGGGAAGACTGGGGACTTCCGACCTTCTGGTTGGAGGACGACCACTCTTCCCCTCAGCCACAGCACAACATCTACTGTTGCATGGGACACTCTGGATCATTAGAGCGTGTAGAGGAATGGAGTTGGTGTTTGGGAGGGGCAGAGTTGGACAGTAGAGAGTGAAGAGAGAAAAAGTGGGGGATGGTCACTTCAGGGACTTTTGAGATTGGAGGCCCCATCAACTCTATTTGCTTTGGCAGCTCAGACTGATTGTCCACTATTCCTGTAAAATCTGTGGCTTCTAATGCAGATTCTGCAAACGAAGCACAGAAAAAAATCAGTCAAACCAAATTCTTTCACTGGATACTGCTTAATAAGTTCTGCTTAACAATTTCTGTTTTGTCACTTACAAGTTATTACCTTTTTTTCAAAATATACACAACTAAGTCTTAGACTGAAGATAAAAGGAGGTTTTGAACCTTACTGTTATTGTTCTCTTTCTGGGGGAGTTTGTTTTATGTATTTCATATTTGTGAACAGACATACACCATCTCTGATATTTTGTGGTAGTCATTACGTTAATGTAAAAAGTTTTATAGAGTTTCCATCAGGATTCATATGAACACACTTTGAGCCACATAAATATTAATATACCTTCAGTATTTTTGGAAGCCTTTGTCCTGACTCTCTTTTTCTTCTTGCCCTGCACAAAAACAAACAAGTCAGACTTATCTATCTTTCTATCTATTGATTTATCAATCTATCGATCTATTTAACATTTGTAAAGATACATATGATTCATACGTAATTTTGACCAGGTGACCACCCTGGATGTTGCATATTGTGGATCTCTCTCTCCCTTGCTGCCTCAAGAAAATATTTTCCCTGTTGCTCCTTCGTCATATTCTTCCACTGCGGACACACAACACTACATTGTCACACATTAATCAATCAATCAAATTGTATTTGTATAGCCCATATTCAACATATTCATCATCAACTTACAACTGCAATTACAGGCTAGTAACTTGTAACTAGCCTTACAAACATACAAAGCAAAGAGACTTACTCTTTGTCCAAGGATAGAGTTGACTGTGGCACTGTTGATTGTGTCATTAGTAAGTAATTTTACTTCAGCCATAACATATGGTCTCTGGTCCTTCAGATAAAGCATGAAGGCATTAGGTGGCCTCTTAACGTATGGCTGCTTAACCTTTGGCTGTCTATGGGAAAAACAGAATAAGAGTGTGTATTACCACAGTGAAGTCCACTAGGATCTTGACAGAGAAATAAAAGACAAAGCAATCAAAAAACAACTCCAAGAAATACAACAGAAACACAAGGTGACTGTGATGATAGCCATTAGGCTGGCTTTGTTGTGGTCTTCCCTTTGAAGACCACTGCCAAAGACAATGTGTGCGACCTGGTTGACTTACTGTGGTTTGGCTGTGATGTTGTTGGCAGGAGCCGAAGCATGTGAAGGACCTGTTGCCATTCCATACACCACCTCTCCATTCCTACAGAAATAAAATACACATACTTACATACATTACACAACATACACACAAATTAGGTGACAGAAATAGTGTTTCTGCAGATACAAACACAAGTTCATATACTTACAGTACTCCGACAGGCAGTGTAAAATCCTGGTTTGGGATCAACATTTGCATAAACTGGGGATACAAACACAGACAAAACAGAGAGATGAGAAAAACATAATATTTTCTATGTTATGTCCAGCTGTGGCTTGTCCAGCACTGATATCATTGATATCACAGTGATGCGGCTAAACCTGCTGTCTCTGTCTACAACAGCACATTTGCAACCAGACAATGCAGCTGCTCCAGTATGTTTTTGCTAGGGTCTAACCTGTTGTTGAGGAGCACATGACACTGGTGCTCCTGGCAAGTAGACTTGCTGCTGAGGTGGCAGGTACTGTGAAGAGAGAAGGAAGGTAAATATTATCATCTTGCATGTATGTAAACACACCATCTTTACTGTAAAACAACACAGAACATATTTTCAACAACAGATCTGGATTTATGATTGAGTAGACTGTCCTATAAAGATCACAATGAGTATGACTGGAACAGATAGGGTTTAGATTTAAATAAGGCTTTTGCTGTTGACCCAAAGCTTCCAACATTGATAAGCATCTATTTTTTTTAATGATCTGTCTAACTTATTCTCACTTACTTGTCCCTGGCTTTGGGCAAATGGCTGGTTGTACAGGTATCCACTTGTCTGCATGGTATTTTGTCCATATTGAAAAACTGGAGCAGCTTGACCGTAAAATGCAGGAGCAGCTTGAGCGTAAACTGCAGGAGCACATTGACCGTAAACTGCAGTAGCACAATGACCGTAAACTGCAGGAGCACCTTGACCATAAACTGCAGGAGCACCTTGACCGTAATATGCAGGAGCAGCTTGACCGTAAACTGCAGGAGCAACTTGACTGTAAACTGCAGGAGCACCTTGATTATAAACTGCAGGAGCACCTTGATTATAAACTGCAGGAGCACCTTGATTATAAACTGCAGGAGCACGTTGATTATAAACTGCAGGAGCAGCCATCAACTGAGGTGGAGGAGCAGGAGCTGCTTCCATGTACACGGCATTCAGATTTTCCACTGTCTGAGAGTAGCTGCTTAACATTGGCTGAGCTGGGACAATAGGTGGAGGTGGAGGAGCAGGAGCTGCTTCCATGGTGGTGTCTACACCAGTTGGAAAAGGTATTGAGGTCTGCATTTCCTTTAAAATGCTCTGCATCTCATCGCTGAGGGGTATATTCTCCGTGTGGACCATTTCCAGAAGAAAGCGTTCCATTTCTTTTTCTTCAAGATCCATCATCTGGTTTGATAATTATATCTGTTGATAGATAAGAAATGTGTTTTTAAGACATGGATAAAAGTACCCACACATCTCAGAGGGAAACACTGTTTCATCTATTTTACTTATCTGAAAGCTAAGATTACTTTACTTGTTGCACGATGAAGGGAAGCATTAAAGTAAAAAAGTATGTTTGGTTGGTTAAGTCAATGGTAACACACCCATTCATCTCAGTCTATCCCCGTTTCCAGATGCGCCAGGTGTCAGTAACAAAACCAAATGCACACACTTACTCTCCCTGCGCGCTCGATATTCAGTATTCATATTGGTTTGCACGGTGCTCTGCATGGGGCATGAAAATATGTCCTTTTGTTTTTTTCTTCACTTGTGATTGTAATATTATCCATTACAGTGTGACCTTACTCTGAGTCAGTGCTTACGGTGTGTGTCAAAGCAAAGTCCCTGTTGGAAGATACATCATGTGATGAAGTGAAACGTTTCATTCATCATCCAAGAGGCTTCTTCCGTTCAATCCTCCCGGTCTTGCCCATAAAGAACAAAATTCGTGTCTCGTGGCAATGACATTTTTTTCTGTGTCCTAATGTCATCGGGTGGGGGGATGGGTATCGTACTGAGAACCTTGCTGTGGCAGTACTTACCTTCTGCTCTCGTGTTAACGTGGTGTTTGAAGGACTATCTTGTTCCTTTATCCGTGGGCTGAGCTTGAGTCATCTATGTTTGCTTTGGTAAGTGGAAACCAACTCTATAGAGTAAGACTATAAAGGCGAAGTTACCTTTGATGAAAAGTCTTCTCCATTGAAATGAAACTTCAAAGGCAGGTTTCAAAGTTCTACAATGTGACGTCATCCAAATGTGTAGAAGTAGCATGTATTTAACATGCAAATACCCCACTACAATAAAAGTCATATACAAAATCATAAGGACAAAATGCATTATTAGCAAATCTGTGACTAATATATTATCATATATGCAATAACTACAAGGCCCACAAGTCTGTTTGTGGTAGTTGTAATTACTGTCTAAGTCAGTGGTGTCAAACCATGTGGATCATGCTCATGAATTTATTTGCACTGAGATTCCTACCAAATGCATACAATCATATAATACTGCTTTTCAAGGAAGTGTTCGTTTACTTTTGTTTAAGAGTTAAAGCCATAAGAAAAAAAAAGTGGAAGTATCAAGTCTGTAGATTATGAGTATTTTTTTGTGTAATACCATCATATTAGGGGACAAGGGCAACTACTTTTCCTGCCTTGTGACATTACTGCGAGTAATATCGTGCTTCCCCTACCTTGTGAAAATAACCTATATAATTGATCACAAAAAATCTTTATTTATTTATTTTTATACTGTGTGGAAAATTGGCACACAACTAAAAATTAATAATAAGACAACAATAAATTATATTAAAACAATAAAAAGTGTAATAGTGTGTAACTTTGGCTTCCTCCAGAGTTGCAATGATAGGAGACAAAAAGCAAAAATGAAAAGAGCCAGCGTCCAGCACTCTGTTAGCTGCATCTGCGGTGGAAAGTGCAGAAGAGAAGTCTTAGGCAGAAAATGCTGAGGCATCAGAGGGCTCATGGGGTAGGACAGGTTTTTTTCAAGGCAGCTGCACAGCTCCTGTCCTTGTAGATTTGTTCAAGCAAGGTTTCTAGTGGAAAAGATGGAAAGAGTAATTTACACTGCTGAGCGTACACATCACCTACTACAGCCTGAAGACTAGATAAAATATAAAACCATGTGAATGATCAAATTAGACTAATACAAGGTGGATAAAGCACAAACAATTTATTTCCAAATCTAATAGTGTACAGTGTACTAACAGTGTACAAAATGCAAGGTCACAAGCAAATAACAAGCACAATAATAACTGAAACATGGGGGCAATTGAAATGTAATATCCAGGAGAGGGTCAGAGTGTTTCTATAGTGCAGGGGATTCAAGGAGCAGGAAGTGAATGAGTAATGTAACAGGCTACATACACTGTACGATTTACATACATGTATATACATATACATCTATAAACATTATATAGTAGGCTATATAATACTATCATATTTATATTTTACACTTATGATAAATTAAGACTATTTTTATAATAGTAACAATGATTATTATTATTATTCTATACATCAATTGAATACATTTTATTTCAGCTCTTTTTGAACCCTTGCATGGAATGATTTGTTCCCACATATTAACAGCTTTCCAGAAAGAGTGTGACTTGTACATCTACTTTGTAAGTTTGTAAGTCAATTTGTTGTTATATATATTTCATTGTACTGAATAGCTAGTTCCTATAGATATAGGTCTAGATTGCTGAGGGAACTCCCATCATGCACTGAGCACTTCTCTCTCCCTCTCTCTGTTTGTGTGCCCCACCATATCTCCCTTAATTAGGATCAAAGACACATGGAATTATGGTTCCATAGGTTTCTCATCAAATCAGTCTGCTTAATTTCATTATCCTCTGTGGTGGTGTGGCCCAAAAGTGTGACGATTTCAGACAGAATGACCTATACACGTCATTCTCTATCTAACTAAAACCACCCTTTGTGTTTTCTCTCTCAGCTATTTATCGAGAATGACCTATTCACATCATTCTCTATCGAACTTCTCTTCACTACCTCCAACTTATTTGAAAATGACTATATAAAAAAACTACACTAGCTAACTAAAACTAGCCTTTGTGTTTTATCCTCCCAGGGTCTGTGTTTTCTCTCTCTCTCTCTCTCTCTCTCTCGCTCTCTCTCAAATCAGTCTGCTAAATTTCATTATCATCTGTATTGGTGAAATTGTAAAACCAATGTTGCTTTACCTGAATGAGGGCAAACAAACACTGCAGACTACTGCCTTCCTTCCTGCTTTTGTAAATCTTCTCATCCATCATCTATACATAAATAAATGCTCACAATTGTCACTGATCTTACTACTCCCACTGTCAATATAACCTTTTAGCTTCGTCTACAAAACAGAACTGCTGCCTTTCTTTCTCTTAGTCACAATAAAACAAATTGGTTATTCCTCCTCTCTTTTGCTGGCTTGTATTAAACTATCGGCGACATCTAACAGTACCACATCAATATTACGAGCCTAGAGTTGGTAAATGCATTAACAAGGTGAGATCCTTCAAGTATCATGGACCACAGGCTCCCCTGCTCCAGCCACCACTGCTCCCAGGGACGCCTCCTCCATCACCGCGGGGCGGCGCTGCAGTCCCAGCGTGAGGGATGAGCAGTAGAAGCAGAAATCTGCTCTCATCCCCGGAGACACCAGCGGAGCGGCAGTGGACGGGACCTGTTAATGAGACTGTCCCCTGGATCTGACCAGCTCGCGTTGCGCATGGTTCACGTCTCTCGTCGCGGGGGAAGAAACGCTGCTAGTGGCGGTCACTGCGCTGAGAGGACACAGCCAGCTCCCACCAGCCGAACTGTGTGACCCGGGCATCAGGAAGAAGGTAGCTAGCCAGACAGCCAGCCAGCCAGCCAGCTAGCTAGCTAGCTAACGTTAAAATTGGCGAGTTCATGTATGTGTGTATTTTCATACCTCCATTGTTTCTGGGTTTTTGTTTTAAATAACAAGTAGTCTCCACTTTGTCAGACGGAGCTCGGGTTCGTTTACTTGACACCTAACGGTGCCGTAATGAAGCAGTTAGCTTGCTAGCTAAGCGGACTGACAGCCCTGGAGGTGAAGCTCCCAGGAGGCTCAGTCGTAGCCAAAGCTTCTTCATAGTTTATCAAACGGTCACCAATAACATGAATTGATGTCTGAGGCCGTGTTAAACCTCATCAAAGTGTGTTCCTGTGCTGCGTCCTCCTCCTCAGTTTTGCTGCTGCCAGGCTGAATGGCGGAGCCGGAGCTTCTGTTGGACTCCAACATCCGACTGTGGGTGGTGTTGCCCATTGTCTTCATCACCTTCCTGGTCGGGGTGATACGGCACTACGTCTCCATCCTCCTTCAGAGCGACAAGAAGCTGACGTTAGAGCAAGTTTCTGACAGGTACGTCATGTTTCATTGTGAGGTCTATGGAGTCTATGGAGCAAACTCATTGAATGTGTTGTTCCCCGTCTCTCCAGTCAGGTTCTGATACGGAGCAGAATCCTCAGAGAAAATGGAAAATACATCCCCAAACAGGTAGGGTAACCTCTGCCAACAGGCCCTTATGAAACCACAGTTAAAATCACAAGACCCCAATTTTGATTTGAGTGCACTGAATTACACACACTAATAAACATCAGTCCCTTAAAAATGCCAGTTTATTTCAGCAAGATCCTTGAATTATTCTCTGTGAAATCAAGGAAAATGTTGAAAAAATCTGGAAGAAAAATTTTAGATCTGCCCCCAGATCTCCACTAGAGATTTAATGGGTTCTTTCTTGACCCATAGCGCTTTCCTCCAATAAATGGTGTGGTAATCTGTCCAGACCTTTTGTGTAATCCTGTATTCTAACAGACAGACTTCTCCATGGCAGACTTAATCATCACACTTTTAGGCCGCACCATCACAGATCTTAATGAAACTTGGAATGCTCATTTGGTCATATGAGAAATCTATGGAACTGAACGTGTGTCTTGGATCACAGTTAAGGGAGATATGACCAGTCAAAGTTACAGAGTCCCCTCCCTAAATAGTTTAAAATTTGTTAGCCCATATCTCCCTTAATTATGATCCGAGACACATGACATTTTTGTTCCATAGGTTTTTAATATGACCAAATCAGTATGCTGAATTTAATTGAATTAATGTGGCCAAAAAGTGTGATGATTTGACAAAGAATGACCTATACATTTTGTTCTCTATCGAATGACTTCTTCTACTGTTAAAATATGCAAAATATATAATACCACTGGCCTTTGCATTTATTTGTCACAACTCTAGCAACAGTGTTACTGAAGATCTCTCTTTCTTCCAGTCCTTTTTGATGAGGAAGTTCTACTTCAACAATCAAGAAGATGGATTTTTCAAAAAGACCAAAAGAAAGGTTGTTCCACCCTCTCCAATGACAGGTAAAGGAGCTCATGTTGAATTAACATATGTGTATATTAAAACATGTAATTATAATGGAGGTATTTCAAAAGTTCCTCTTTGGCCATCTATAAAAAGAATGGAGTAACAGAATTTCATGGCTACTTAAAGAGGAGTATTTTATTTTACCTTCTTATTCCTGTAATTCTTTTTCTCCCATATTTTAATTTTAAAAATGTTGTACAGCACATCTAAATTTGTTGCTCATTGCATTTTTTCACAGATCCCAGCATGCTGACGGACATGATGAAAGGCAATGTCACCAATGTGCTTCCCATGATCCTCATTGGAGGCTGGATCAACTGGACCTTTTCAGGATTTGTAACAAGTAATAATGACATTGCTCCCTCACAGATCTCTCATCTTATTGTGCAAAATGTGGCATTCACAAAAACACATTTTTGTGATGCTAGCAGGTGAGATATTATTTATGTGTAGCTTTTACATTGAGATCTTTCTGTTCTTTCTTTCACACAGCTAAGGTCCCCTTCCCTCTCACCCTGCGCTTCAAGCCCATGCTGCAGCAAGGAATAGAGCTGCTCTCGCTGGATGCATCCTGGTAAACTAATTAAAAAAATCTAATAAAATGATTTCTGTATTAGTTGTGATATATTAATCTGAGAATATTAGTGTGTGACCTTGTAATTGATGTGATTTCTTCTGTGTGCATCTGCCATCCAGGGTGAGCTCAGCATCGTGGTATTTCCTGAACGTGTTTGGACTAAGAAGCATGTATTCGTTAATTCTAGGCCAAGATAATGGTAATTTTATGTATTTTATCACATCGGATTTTAAGTTGGATGATGACATGATAATGTTGTATCTACTCCTGCTGATTCTCAAAAGGTAACAGTAATGCAAACTGCGTAAAACTACGATTACTATTTAATTCACTCACTCTCAACCATTTTCATAATTATTATGCTGTGATCAGGAATGTGAGCATTAAAACAGCAGCTGATTTAAACCCAATTTGAGAGTTGTTTTAGCCAGTGATAAACCATGGCCCAGTGAACTTTACAAATCATTTGAGGCTTGATTTTTGTTGAAATCTGTATCATCATTAATGGTGAAAGAGTTTTACATTCTGATTATTACTTTTCATCTCCATATACTGATTGTTTTTGCTGTGCTTTGCAATTGCTACAGGTGCAGATCAGTCGAGGATCATGCAGGAGCAGATGAGTGGTGCAGCCATGGCCATGCCTGCAGATACAAATAAAGCCTTTAAGGTACAGTATATAGTTGTGTCTGCATCATCAGTGACTGAGAGTGTGATTTGCTCAGTTGTTCATGTGATGCTTGTCTTGATTTCAGGCTGAATGGGAGGCACTGGAACTGACTGACCATCAGTGGGCGCTGGAGAGTGTTGAGGAAGATCTAATGAGCAGGGAACTGGACTTTGACGGCATGTTTAGCAAGGAGCTGCCAAGCGGCATCTTCTGATGTCCTGGTCACCTCTACTCTCAGCCTTCAATTTAAATTTTGATAATTGCAGGAATTTTGCTGTTTGGCTAAAGAGGGAGAAATGGGACAAATCCCTTCATGTTATGCAAAGTTTACATTCACTTATGTGTGGTCCTTGTCTTTTCACGTGTGTTACCTTTTCATTACTGTCCATGAAATATCTGAAATGACTTAAAATACACTGGTTCTGCTGCTGTCTCATGCATATTGAAAGCATTGCTTACTAATTCTTACCTAAGGAGAAATATTTGGGAGAAACTAAGTTGCTTTCGTTAATTAAAATGCATTATTTTTAGCCTCCAACTGTATGCCATCATAGTGCCATTAGGTAATAGAATGTGAACTACCCAGTGCTTCTTTGTTTTCTTATATCATGCACAGCCAGAGTAGCTGTCTCCATATTCATAGGTTTGATCATGTTTTTAAAAAGTAGGATACACTTACATTTAAAGGTCTGAATGATGTTTAGTTAAACAATCTTTAAAAACTACTTTTGTTAGATCATGGATAGAGCTGTTCTGTGTCAGCCGCCCTAACATTTGCAGGAGACACAGAATTGATTAGATTTTGGCAGAGAATATGCTTGTGTGATTGAAATATTGTTTTTTAAACTATGTAGATTGTTTATTTTGTAAAGTAAACCCCCCTGTGTTTGTAAAGTATAAAGTTTGTGTTGACTTAATGTACTTTCAGTTTGCTGCAAATACACGCCGTATGTACATGTATGTGCAGACACATATACACATACACACATACAGTCGTTATTATATTGGGTATAATTGTTCTAGCAGTACCTGGATTGGGACTGGTGGTGACCTGCCTGTAGTGGCCGATGACAGAGCGGTGTCACTGGAGTGCATTAGCGGCTCTGGTCTATTTCGCACTGACCGTAGAAGAAGAACGTTTCCGTGAACAGCGCCGCTTTGAAGCTCGCCCCAGCTAGTCTCTCCCTCCGCGCGCTCACGATACCGGCACATTCACTGCATGATGGCCGAGGGAGGCGGACCCGAGTCGGGTGGCACGGCGGACTCGGACTCGGAGCCGGTAGCAGCTCAAATGCCAACCCCTTCAACAGAGAGCCAAAAACAGACCATTGGCTCCCTTTTGAAAACAACTCTGCGAAAGGGCGACGAGTGGTAAGAACCCGCACCGGCCACCGTTTCCTGGGTGTTTTCAGCTAGCTCACGTTAGCCCGGGGATGAACAGGAAATGCTAGCATGCTAAAGCTGGTAGGCTAACGGCACCAAGTCTGACAACGGAAGCTGCTGTAATGCTGATATTTTGGGCAGCTAATGTTTAACAAGTTAGCATGCTAGTTGCTAACTTCACTAGTTCCAATCCGGTTTTGTAATTCCTCTGCTAAGACTGGTGGCTGTATTAGCGACTATTAGCATAGGTCGCTAACAACCAAACTAACAAGGCTAACTAACTAGCTCATCTGCTTAATGGTTAAACGTAAATGCTTGTAGTGTGACAAGTTAGCTGACGTGAGTGTATGTGGGGGCCAGTCGGCTGGTAAGATAGGCCCTGGATTCAGGTGGTCAGACCGGCTCGTTGCTAGGTTAGTTAGCAGAAACTGAGCTGGATGACAGGGATATTATGGCATGGCTTGCCTGCTTGTAGTGACATGATAGTTGAAGTTGTTCGACATGTTAGCCAAAATAAATTAAGGTCATAAACCATCTAGGCCTGAGCATAATGCAGCCAGATATATCCAAGAGACTTCATCTCAGCAGATCTATATTACATGAGAGAAAAGTCAGATTAATAATTAACATTTCAGTTGCCTTTATTGATAGAAGCAGGCATCAAGAGAAGAAGCGGCCTTAGCGTTTATATCTGCCAACAAAGCTAACACGTTTAAATTGATGAAGACATTAGTCAGTACTGTTTATAGATGGTGTTTCATTATGCTGTAGTTAAATGAAGTATCACCCTCTGGTATTCATGCTGGCACATAGTTTCCACAAGCACATTAACACTGTTGTATAGCTTGGTTAAATCACACAAGGTTAAAGGGCAAAGATCTTAAACATTACTGTAACTGAGACATGTCACATTTGTGGCTGTTGCATAAATTCTGACACAACATCTCACTATGTGAATACTTTCTAGCAAGCCTATTAACTAAAGGAGATTCGCCCTTGTGATGAGATTAAGTCAAACTAGCTTGCAGTGACTATATCTGCAAATGCCAAGGCAATTCGCTGTTGCATAATGTTCTGGGTTGGCATAAGCCTGAGTGCAGTCTCTCCAAACCTCCTGCATTTTATCCTGCTTTGACTCTGCTGTATGTATCTTACGGTGACCAGAAAATCAAGGAGATTTCTGCTTATTTGTTTCAGGTATCTAATAGACAGCCGGTGGTTCAAACAGTGGAAGAAGTATGTGGGATTTGACAGCTGGGACATGTACAATGTTGGTGAACGAAGCCTCTACCCAGGACCAATTGATAACTCTGGGCTGTTTTCAGGTAAAACTGTCAATTTTAAAGAATATTGTAAGTTCATGTTTAGAAGACAAATCCCACCAAGAGATTAAAAGAGCTGTTTTGTCAGTCTTTTGTCATCATTGTATTTTTTTCCATAAAGACCAGGAGACTCAGGCCCTGAAAGAGCACCTTATAGATGAGCTGGACTATGTCCTTGTACCCACTGAGGCATGGAATAAGCTTGTCGGCTGGTACTTCTGCCTCGAGGGTCAGAGACCCATCGCCAGGAAGGTAATGTTATAGAAGATGTTTTCATTTCAGCCATACACTTATGGATGGTGCTCTTAAATGTCCTTCTTTATTCTCAAGGTGGTTGAACATGGCATGTTTGTCAAGCACTGTAAGGTGGAGGTCTATCTGCTGGAGCTGAATCTGTGTGAGAATGACAACATGGACAATCTGGTCACACGTCATTTCAGTAAAGCTGATACCATAGGTGAGGATCTACATGAGTTTGCTTTGAAAATAGCCAAATAGAAGGCTGCCTACACACTGGAAATTCCTCTACTCTTTAATTCATTGACTATATTTGGTGTCAAAAATATGAAGTTAAGATGATAAGCAAAGTCTTCCATATCCCCTCTTCTCAGATACTATAGAGAAGGAGATGAGGATGCTGTTCAATATCCCATCAGAAAAGGAGACACGACTCTGGAACAAATACATGAGCAACACCTATGAGCAGCTGAACAAGCCAGACAGCACTGTACAGGACGCTGGTCTCTTCCAGGGGCAGGTAATCTAGAGCTCTGTTATTCAAATCACCATCAGATCACTGATAGACTTTCTCTCTTCCTCATTTCTTTGAAAGAGCACCACAGCCCTGTAGCATACGGGTACTCAATGTGCATACATAATTAATTTACAGACATAGTACAAAATAACAGGAGTCTAATGCATTGCAGTGCATTAGCCCTGTGATAAAATGCATATATGAGTGGTTAGGTTATGGTTTAACTGAATTGCTAATTTTGAGAATGAAGTTTATGGTGGTGATGTATTTGAAGAATAACGTATGGTGTTCTAAATGTTATGTTTATGTAAAACCCTAACATAAATTAGCGGCAGGGCTTGGTGTTAGAAAGAGAAACTAAGATTCAGGCTCAGTTTTTCATTTTTAACTTGTAAACCACCATGTAACAAACAAAATTTTTGAAAAGTACTTCATAAATATTGTTTATTACCATCATCAGTTTATCCCATCGTTAAGATATTATGTCCTGCTTTATGTGTAACAAAGTAATTCCTAAATCATACCTGCTCACTGCCTGTAGGGTACATTTCTGTTCAAACAATACATTTGTTGTAGTAATGAAGGTATGAAACAAAGTCTCCTGGCACACGTGCAGTACTCATTTGAAGCCTGGTATAACAGTTGCATATGAAGGTCAGTTGGGCCAGCTTGGCTCTTACTCAGCTTGTTTTCCCACAGGTGCTTGTGATTGAGCGCAAGAATGAAGATGGCACGTGGCCCAGACAAGCCTCCCATCCCAAGTAAGCCAATACCTTATTACTGTTGCCTTTTCATTCAGTAAAAGGAGTTACATGTACATTCACATTTACACTGTTTGAAATGCGATGTCATTGAAAGAGAAGCGCTTTTCTGAAACATGCTTCTCCTCACCAGATCCAGTACAACCCCCTCTAGGAACTTTACTACCTCCCCAAAACTCTCCTCTAACTCATCGGCCAGTATCTCATCAACAGTAGCCAACGGAGACGGCAGCTGTAGCTCTGAATATACACTTAATAACAGCACCTCATCTGGCAACAGGCAAGAGTTATATTCCCTCACATCAATGTTTGTTTGTCTCATGGTGTTGTAGAGAAGTTTGGAAATTCTTCCTGGTTGAGTCCCAACAGACCATCATTCTATAGTGTCAGGATAATAATCTTTTTTGAAACTTTTCCTCTATCCATCATATGATTTGTCATTATCTCATTATTTTCTCTTTCTATAGTTTTATCATTTATCAGCTTTCTGTAGCAAATTAATTTTGCCTTGAGTTTGCTGTTACATCTTGTGTCACCTAGAAAACAAGTGTGTACAACCATTTGAAAGCAGACTGGTATGTGATATATTTGGTGCTGTATCAGCATAGTTTTAATCTTATTGCATGGTAATGAAAGAACACAGTGTTACTGTATTGTAACAGCATGGGTCCACTTCTCAGGCGTCTTAGTCTGTAAACTGTCAATCTAGTGTACATGGAAAGATTTGTTGGCAAAGGTTTGTCACATTAATAGTGTATCCAGGTACAAGACATCAAATTCTTTTGGGAAATAATATTTAATTGCCAAAGTGACTTCATGAATTGAACCAAATGTTAACTTGGTGAAATGACTGCAACAAGGCTTTAATGTTCTTTTAATCACTCCAACCACCTGACATCAAATATAATGTTTACCATCCAATTTTAACTGCAGTCTAATAAAAACTAATGTTATTTGTTTTCTGCAATATGTGTGTGCGCACACATATATTTTTGTATTTGTGCGTGCTATAGACAGCTATTAAAATAGAAAATAAAAAATGGTACATTTGATGGAATTATGTTATGGAGACCTCTTTTGGTTGGGTAAAAAAAAGTAAAACTATCATTTAATGTGTAATATGCATATTGATGAGTGTGCCAGTTTTAACAATGAGAGCAAGAGTGTGGTGATGACACTCTTCAGATCAGAGAGAGAACACTGCCCACTGCTCTACAATGAAGCAACAGCAGAAAACATGAAGTTAAAGATAGTTATGAGAAGTGTAAAACTTTAGCCGTCGTAGTCTGGGAACACTGGAGAAATACAGGATGCATGATAATTGGTAAAAAAATATTCAGCCCGAGTTCCATTTTGTTTGATTTAATGTAATATATACAGTGGTTGACTGCCTGTATTCACTGCTTCATCACATCACTGACAGTAACAGATCTTCTCCTCTGACAGATTGGGCAACTACAATTCCTACAGCTCCTCCTACAACTACAGAGAGTCACAGTCACAACCCGGCCTGTGTGGTCTCAGTAATTTGGGCAACACATGCTTCATGAACTCTGCCCTCCAGGTAAAAAAAACTGCTACAGTCATAAATTCCATTCAGAGAGAGAATAATCTTTTCTGCTATTATGCTTATACGTTCAAATATTTTCTCTCCAAATCCTGCAGTGCCTGAGCAACGCATCCCCACTTACAGAGTACTTCCTCAACGACCAGTACGAGGCAGAGATTAACCGAGAGAATCCTCTGGGAATGAGGGGCGAGATAGCTGAGGCCTACGCTGATCTAGTAAAGCAGATGTGGCTGAGTCGCAGCAGCTACGTGGCCCCACGTACCTTCAAAGTGAGTGATGTGACATAAACCTGTTTTCAGTGGATGTATATTTAAAATTATCAAGTAATAATCTTGAAGCTGCAGACAAGAGTAACAAAACCAACTTTTTTTTATTTCCAGACCCAGGTTGGACGCTTTGCCCCCCAGTTTTCAGGCTACCAGCAGCAGGACTCACAGGAGCTGTTGGCCTTCCTGCTGGACGGTCTCCACGAAGATCTGAACCGTGTCAAGAAGAAGCCTTATCTGGCCCTGAGGGATGCAGAGGGCCGTCCAGATGAGGTATAGCACATACGGTATACATTTTCAGGAGCTGGAATATGATGCCACGTAAATATCAATATTCACAGCACTCCTGGTTTTGTGTTTGCTTTTTATAAAATTAAAAAGGGGACAAGGACTGCCAGCTTCTGTAAGCTAGCCATGGCATATAAATGTTATTTGAATTTCCACATTATGGAGACATAATGTTTATCATAACACATTCAAGTAAACAACTATATTACATTATTAAGTTTTCTCATCTTGTATGGGTTCTTTTTAATAGCATCTGTTGAAATTGTTCTCCTCTGGCTGTCTCTTTACAGATTGTTGCCAAGGAAGCCTGGACAAACCACCGTTTACGCAATGACTCGATCATAGTTGATATTTTCCATGGCCTCTTCAAATCCACTTTGGTGTGCCCAGAGTGCTCCAAGGTGTCTGTCACCTTCGACCCATTCTGCTACCTCACACTGCCTCTGCCCATGAAGAAGGATCGTACCATGGAGGTTTTCTTGGTGCGATCAGACCCTCAGTCTCAACCCACACAGGTGAGTCAGAATCAACTCCAGGGTTCAATTAATTAACCAACTCAAAACAGTTGTTTACTTACAGTTCTTGCTTTGCTAAAAGTTCAAGCCTTTATAAAGCAAAGATATTTTTGTTTTGTCTGTCAGTATCGAATGGTGGTCCCCAAACTGGGTACAGTGACAGACCTGTGCAGCGCCTTGTCCAAACTCTGTGGCATCCCTTCAGAAAATGTTAGTACATTATCTTTTAACAACACCTGAAAAAAGTCAAATGTTCTTTATACTTTCAGCTTTATTTATTTGGGTTGAACACTTTACAATTCCCTTTTCTTTTTAGATGGTGGTGGCGGATGTTTACAATCACAGGTTCCATAAAATTTATCGACGGGATGATGGCCTCAACCAGATCATGGAAAAGGACGACATCTTTGTGTAAGTCTTGCTGTTGATAAAAAGATGAGAAGTCTGAAGTCAGTGTTCTATGTGTGTGTGATGTACATGTTTATGTTCTCTGCAGATATGAGGTACAGGAGGAGGACAGTGAGAAGATGAACCTGCCTGTATATTTCAGGGAGCACCACACCAAACATGCTGGAAGCTCCACAAGCAACATGCTGTTTGGCCAGCCTTTACTCATCACCGTGCCCAGACACAACCTCATAGCAGACGTTCTATATGACAAGATCCTAGAGAGAATTGGGTAAGAACTTAGTGTGAAGATAATAAGGAATGAAACTACATGACAGTGCAGTGACAGTTTGTGTTGAGCCAGTGTGATGAGATGAGTTTGAAAGAAATGGTGGGGAAAAGCAACAGATTTAATCAATGTAGTAGTTTTGTAGTAGTTTTCGTAGCCATATTCAGGTAAATACAGTGATGTAATCACATACAATTTAACCTCAATGCTGAAAGTGACATGACAAGATTAGGGATGTCAGGATGAACTGGTTTTACAATAAACACGGTTTGATAACGTCACGATTTCATAACTGTAAGAATTGTAAAAACTACGATATCTAACTATGGTGTCCTGCATCTCGCGAGTCATGTCATTTGTGTGTGAGAAGACTGAACTCACTTAACAGCCTTATTTCTACCAACACTGGACAAACAACTCTCAGGAGTTCACAGCGAGAGGAACGAAAGTTGTTTACTTTCAGTTTCTGACCAGGGGTGTGTGCGTGTGTGTGTGTCAGCCGCTGCTGACACACACCTCTCTCTTCCTCTCTATCTCTCTCTCTTCCTATCAACCATTATAAATAACAAGAGTAAACAAAGAGACTGACTCTCTCACGGAAGCATGCCATGAAAGTTTCTCCCCATATTTGCTTTAGACTGCTCTCCTGTAATTTATCTTCACTGGTCCCTCCCATCCTGCAGGCGCTATGTAAAACGCTCCCAGAGCCCCAGCAGTGAAAGCAGGGCCTCAGCTTCAGCCACCTGTTCAAGCTCCAGTCAGGCTGCTGAATGTTCTACATCGTCTAGTCTCAATCCCGGCCTGGGTGGCTGTGGCAGCCCCCTGTCGGACGGAGCCTCCTGCAGTGCCAGCTCCAGCAATGGCAGCAACCACTCAGGGACCTGCAACGAGACTAATGGGCTGTATGATGGTAAGCAGCTAACATTATGATTCTAGTATTGCTCAGGGAGCCACTCTACTTAAATATATTTGCTGTTGATTTTAACCAAGAATACTGAGAAATTCAGCATTGAAAAGAAATTTGCAGATGATGAGATTTTATATTTGTTCAGGTGAGGAGGAGGCCATGGACCACCAGGTGAGCCCAGAGCCAGAGAATGGCCAGTCTGAAGAGGAGGAAGAGGAGACCTCTGACTTGGAAAACGGGCCTAAAGCAGACGCGGCCAAGCTGTGCTCTTCACCAGCCAAGCTCTTCACATTCAGCATAGTCAACTCTTATGGAACAGCCAACATCAGCCCACTGCCTTGCGATGGCAATGTCCTCAAACTCAATCGTCAGTGTTAATCATTTGATTTATTTTATAGCTTTATTTTTCAAGCCACTTTGCGTTGACACTTCTCCTCCCTCCTCTCTGCAGCACATTCCACGGTGGCAATTGACTGGGACACAGAGTCAAAGAAACTGTGTTATGATGAACAGGAAGCAGAGGTCAGTGGGTTGATATTCATCACTCAGTCATGTGAGAGAACATGCAAACAGTCTATTCACGTTTGTGTAAATATTGCGTGCAGGCCTACGAGAAACACGAGAGCATGCTTCAGCCCCAAAAAAAGAAAGCTACTGTGGCTCTGAGGGAGTGCATCGAGCTCTTCACAACTATGGAGACACTCGGAGAACATGATCCATGGTAATGATTCACAACTGCCACTACCTCAAAATTCAGTGTCAAATCGGGATTATTCTAACCAGCATTGTCATATAAACACACCCTTTCTTATGCAGGTATTGTCCCACATGTAAGAAACATCAGCAGGCCACAAAAAAGTTTGACTTGTGGTCGCTGCCTCGCATTCTGGTTGTCCACCTAAAGCGTTTCTCCTACAACCGGTGTTGGCGGGACAAGCTGGACACAGTGGTGGACTTTCCCATTAGGTATGACAACAGGGTTTCTTATTTACCATATAATCAAGCGGCTGGCAACACGTGGCATTGACACTAAGCAACGATATTTGCCTAATTGATATTGCACCTAGCAATAGGAGTTTTGTAGAAGACTCATCAATCCTACTTATGATTTTCTAATTCTTATTGAAAGTAAAATATATAAATGCTGATTGTGTCATTACAACTTTCACAACAAATGAACATCTTGTTTTGACAATGACTTGTTCCAAAAGAACTGAAAATGGCTGTTGTATCAGTGGGACTTTTACACAGGAGGTCGCTGTAGTCGTAGAAACTGAACAAAGGCAATTAGTTTATGAAATATTGTCCTTTAAATGGACTCTTGACTCAGAGATGTGACACCACACTCCAAAGAACAATTCAAGCTGTGTTCTCGCTGTCCTTATCTGTTGCTGTTGTGTAACTAATACACCTAATACACACTGAGTCGTTAACCTGTTTTTTCAGTTGGCACAGTACAAATTCCCCTTTATGTTTTCAAATGGAGAAGTTGGCCACTCTTGGCTCTTTGTGCAGCACATATTGACCAACATTGAGTAACTTGAACCAGTAGAAACCAGGAAGCAGAGAAAATGTAACTAAATGCTTGTTTTAAAAAGGCTGAGTCATGCTTACTAAGGATGGCTATAAACATAGGCCCATATCCTGTGTCCTGCATTTTACATGTGGCCCTTCAGGAATCCAGTTATCTACAGTTTTTAATATCCACGTGATTTAAGATTTTTTTTTAATATGTGATTAATGTTTTTTTCCTTTGTCAGGGATCTGAACATGTCAGAGTTTGTGTGTGACCCTAAGGCCGGACCTTACATATATGACCTCATTGCTGTGTCAAACCACTATGGAGGAATGGGAGGGGGTCACTGTAAGTCACTGTTCATTTATTTTTTTTATATCTCTTCTGTCATTTTAATCTTCAAAACAATTTAACTCTTCACCAAAATACCATAAAATACTGTTCACATAGCACACGTCTTGTATCAGTGTCTCACACACACACACACACAATATGTCAACAGATGGGTGCTGAATGAACTGCGCTTGTATGAACATTGTTAAATTCTAAGACATGAAGTGCCAGATTGTTGTTTGTGGCCCAACTGGTCTGATAAGATTTGTTTCTCTTCCTGGGTAAACAAATGACTTGAATAGCTTAACTGTCAACACTGACTTCCTTCTCTCTGACAGACACGGCATATGGCAAGAATAAAGTGGATGGAAAGTGGTACTACTTTGATGACAGTAGTGTCTCGTCTGCCTCGGAGGACCAGATTGTGGTGAGTTTTTACTCTGTGTCCTGTAGTTGTATACCCTCAGAGATGCAGTATTTGTGGGTTTTATCTAATGACTGATGTTCGATACAGAAGTCCTCAACCTTCCTTGCTTTCTATCCAAGGTGTCGAGTGTCTGTTTTTGTAGGTAACCCTATCCTTGTCCTCCCCTTGCAGACAAAAGCAGCCTATGTGCTCTTCTATCAGCGCAGAGACGAGGAAGCCCCTTCAAAACCTCAGCCTTCGGCCTCGCTGGGAGGAGCCTCCGAAGCCGCGGATGACCACATGGACACAAATTGAGGAGCCCTGAAGCAAAGGGACACGCACTGAAACGCATACAGCAAATGGAGACACTTGGACGCACACACACAACGCTACTTTAGTGACAGAGGACTCCACAGACTTAACGTTATTAACCCCACCTTCCCTGTATTTGATTTTTGTCTTGTATGTTGTCAAACTAGAGCCAACAGCCTTGTCAGAAGATTGACCCGAGAGACTTCCTCCTCAGAGCGGGTGGCCTGCTGATTTCTGAACATAGTTTACTAGTCTGGAACTAAGAGGATTATAAATGGATATAGATTTTTCTCACTGGAAGAACAGAATGTTAGAAGTGCCCTCAATTGCATAGATAAACAAATGTTTCTGTTGCCCTCAACACAACAGTCAGAAATATATAAAAAAAAAAAAAAAAGCCAAATGCTCATCTTGTTTCAACCAAAGTGTTCCGAGTTATTTATGATCATTATGTACCAACTTGTAAGACATTAGCAGGATAACTGGCAATGACCCTGGAATTATCTCTGCTGATCTCACTATGCTGAGGTTAACACAAGCTCTAATAGTGTGATGTGCACACAGAACAATCTTATAAGGCGTGCTTGTTGAAATAATTCCTGTGAACTTACGCCACCTGTGTGGAGTGGATTACTGAGGGGGACCCTGCTAGCTGCAGACCAGCTGTGGCAGTTGTGCTCCCGGCCTGCTGGGTCTGTGTTGCAATCAAAAAAAAGAAAAAAAGCCACAGGGGGATGTCTTATTTCAAGGTTTTCAAGATCTGGGTCTTGTGGCAGGAGCTTCTTGGTCGGCCATCTTTGTATTTTTTTTTTTGACACACAGCATGGGGTTCTGCTGTCTCTTGGACCCTAAACTTGTGAGAGGAATTTTACCCTGCTAACAATTTTTGTTTTCTTCTTTTGTAATCATGATGCAAACGCGGCCTTTTGATTCCTGCAACCTGACTTAATAGGAGGCACTTTGAATTCTCCATGAGTACTTTATCTACCTGCTTCTGGTGTAACTAGACATGATGACAGAATTGTATGGTTTGGCCTTAGCATTAAGCGTTATGGTCTGTCATACACTACCAGATGATTTTAATGTGTCTTTTTAAGCAAATTTTAAGTTTAATTGCTGCCTGATTGGACCCCTAGCTCACTTGCAATGGCTTGTCCTTATTAGTCTTGTACATTAATGCAGCTCTGTATTGAAATGGCTATGTTTGATCTTTTCAAAGCACACTGAGTGAAGCGAAATAAACTAGAATAAAAGTGGTGCTTAATTCATGAAACTTGAACTTGCTCCTAGTCACGCGGATCAATCCACACGTGCCGTCAGATGGGGGCAGGACAGCAGTATCTTCCAACATTTATGAGCCAATTCTTGTCCTTCCAGTGATCTTACAATACTCAGCTGTTCTTATGTAATAACAAGAGAATTCCTCCCTTTGTTCCATCTTTAGTCTTTATAAAATCAAATGTGTCCCAATCCCCCTCAGCACAGTCACAACACATGTCTTGAATGTGATCAACAGTAAATAATAGAAAAGAGTAACTGTCACTCAGTGATTCTGGATCTATTTCTTGTGTGGCCAAAACTCTGGACTTTGTTGCATAACACTATGTCGATATGTTGGGCCTCCAAGTTCCCTCTTTGCTGGTTGGTCTTTGCCGTCGTTCTGTTGTTCACAGATGACTACGTAAAGATAATCATTTATGCCTGTGACTAGAAAAGCTTTACATCATATCACACAAATTCAGCAAATCTTTTTTTTCCTCAAATCACGAAAGCGATTGAAACTCAAAAAACAACTGAAGAGATGTAAATAATCACACTATTTTAAATAGGTGTATACATTCTTGTCCTCATATTTATCTTTTTGCTGATATCTACAGTATTTGTTTTTAAATTGAGAACTATTTGAATTCAAAGTACAATAAAGACTGGAAGCCTCTACAGGGTGTTTTGTTTGTAATAATTACTTACACAAACTAAATTGACACTCAGGAGAGCTCATAACTTCGCCAAGGCTCATCGGTCAGATCCTGATTTTTTTATTTGTATCCGCACCAAATTGCACACACTCATAAATATCATTCCCCTAAACATGCCAGATTTCTTCATACCCTTTGTGCCTCTGACAGCCAGTGGCCTGAGGCTTTATGTTTTCGGTTTGTCTGACTATCCCATTATTGTGAACACGATATCTCAAGAACACTTTGAGGTAATTTTTTCAAATTTGGTAAGAATGTTCAATTGGACTCACAGATGAACTGATAGGAATTTGGAGGCAAAAGGTCAAGGCCAATATGACCTTAGATGTTTTTGCCTCTTGAACATGTTCTCTGAGGAACAGCTCATGAGAATTGTTTCAAATTTGGCACAAATGTTCACTTACACTCACTGATTCCATTTGGGCGGTCAAGGTCATTGTAAAAGTGTAATAATTCCTGGCTCTTCACCAAAATCTAATGGGTTCTTCCTGTGGTCATTGCCTGCCCCTTTAAAATGTCATGGTAATTAATAGGTTGAGTAGTTTTTGCATAATTCTACTCGCAAACTCTAACAAAAACACGACCTCCTTGGTGGAGGTAAGATAACAGTTGACTTGATTTCAGTGCTGGTTATGAAAATCCTCTTTGGTGAAAGAATTTCCGTGCACCCTTAATTATGAGGTTCCATTTATGCTGGCTGTCTGCAGAATGAACTATGTCTTTGGTCAAGTGTGGTGCAGGAGAAAAGCACAGGTTGTAATCACACTGGTTGTGTACAAAACTATAATTTACTATATCTGTCATGGGTGGATGTTTCACCCACAGTAACATTTAAGAAAAAAGCAACTTCAATACTGGGATGCTGAGTTTGAATTTAGAAATCCTAAATTGTCAGTGTTACTAATGTCACAATACATGTTTGGTTTAAAAGATCTAAAATCTTACCCAAAGTCATTAAAAGGCAGTAAGGCAGGATTTAAGAAAAAAAACATTTATTGCTTGTCTTTATACTTAAAACCACAGCAGTGCTTTACAAGTACTCAATGAAGCTGAGACATTCAGCCTGTTACATTGCATCAGACACCCCCCTCACATCAAGACTGGTTTCAGAGGATGTCTTCATATAGTAAAAGAACAGAACACAGACATCGGTACAAGAGAGCACAGGTGGTCACGTAGAAAAGTGTCAAACCATCTACAGAAGCTATGGAGGGAAAAAAGACGGCACAAGGGTGTTTCTCTGGATGTGATCAGGGACACACATGCTTCCTAAGTGCTGAGAGCCTGGTGCAAACAGAAGCTGGCGGAAGGTTCGTTAGTGCGCTATGCTGAGGAGCTTCTTGATGTCCCCCTCAATGTCGCTGGTGAGGAACCTCCTGCTGTAACGCTTGAACGGCACCCCATCAGGCCCGATGAGGAACTTCTCGAAGTTCCAGGCCACGTCGTTTCTGCAGACCGGGCTCCAGATGATTAACTTGGGGTCGTTTATCAGGGCGGAAGGCTCGTCGCTAGGGAAGGGGAGCTTCTCTCTCAGGAACACGAACAGAGGATGAGCGTCCTTCCCGTTCACATCCACTTTCTCCAGGAGCTGAAACTTGGGCTCAAAACCATTTCCAGGGCGGACATACTTCAGAGACTGCAGGATTTCATCATTCTTGCAGTTCTCCTACAGAGATAGAGCATTGATTTTGTTACATACTCTGACACAGTTAAATCATTTGATGGAAACATTTTACGACATATAAATCTGACAGGTTACAAGGGTCCCAGATTAAGTCCACCATTAGATCCCTTTAGACATATTTATGGATTACTGATCACCAGATATTCCCATGGATCAATAAATATATGAATATAAAACAAGCCTGCAGCACTGATCAGTCATCTGATCTGTTTCGTACACAACCACTATAGCAAATAACTTACTTTTTGTGTGTCAGGTGATTGTGAGCCAACAGTTATTATTATTGCACACAAGGCTCAGTTAACTGTGTGTAGACGGGCTCTTTTAAGCCTGCAGATAATATGACCTAATATCAGCATCTATTAATGAGTTACTAGTTTTGCCATTAGGAAACAGTTGATGAATAACTCGTTGCTAAAATGATTTCTGTTAACTTTCAAAGTTCTGCATTGTCTGGCACCAAGCTACTTGGCTGATCTTCAGTAATCACCACCAGAAACTTTTACCAAATGTTTTTTTTCTCAATCGTTTTTGGCAATTATTGTTATCATTATGTTTCTTTTATAATTTTCTTTTAATTTAATTGAAGTGATGCTGTATCGTTGGAATTGTTTCTTGACTGTAGATACTGGATCATGTTGTATTATTCTGCTTGTTGTCTTGATGTTCTGTTTCCGTGTTTTTATTTGTCCTCTCACTTGTAAAACACCGTTTGAAACTTGCTATACAAATACAGTTCTTCTTGTTATTATTATTACTAATGTTATAAATACTGTTATTATCCATCCATTAAGTCTTAAGAATCAACTTAAACACGGCTGCTTGGTAACTTCACTAACTCCATTTAAGAAGAAGAAAAGCTGGGGGAGACTTCCGGGAAGATAACAATCTGATATGAGTGTTTAAATTATCTGAAGAAAAAACTAACGAAATAAAAATCAAACTCATGAATCTAATTAAATAATTAACCATAACAGAATATAGATTGGATGTATGTGTCCTCACCTGATGGCCGAACTGGTTGCAGGGCACCCCCAGGATCACGAGCCCCTGGCCGGCGAAGCGCTGGTGGAGCTCGTTCATCTGGGTGTAATCCCTGGTGGTCGTTCCTCAGAGAGACGCCACATTCTCGATGAGGACAACTTTGCCCTTCAGGGAGGAGAAGTGGAGGACTTCTCCTGTCAACAGTTTGGCCTCGAGCTCGTGAAACTTCGCAGACATCGTTGAGCTACTTGTTCAGCTGTCCTCTCACTGACTGTCCCTCTGTGTCCACTGTCCACCAGTGAGATGCTCCTCCAGCCACACTCACTGTCTTATAGTCCAAGAGTTTGAGTCTGAGTGCAAGATAGTTCACACCCTGCAGGAGGAGTAATACTCCTACTACTACTACTACTAATAATAACAGCAACAACAACAACAACAATAATAATATGCCAATGAACCATGCAAAACATCTACTGGTGTTAACATTGTTGAATAGTAAATCACATTTAGAACAAAATTAAGTTCTGAGAGAGTAAGTATATTTTTTTATTTATATCTTATTTATATGTATATCTATCTATCTATCTGAATGTTTTCATTCGCGTTATCCTACTTTTTTTAATAAACATATATTTATCAGAATATTACACAATACTTACGACGAATACATTTTGAAGCACTAATAGGTAGCACCCCCTATCTCTCTATCTATTTCAATGTTGTCCTTTATTTTATCTTTCTTTTTTGCTGTCTTGTTTAATTCTGTGTCTTTTTATTCAATGTACTTTGTGAAGCACTTTAAAAACACCATCCACATAACGAAGGATGCAGGTAGCAGGGAAACCGCTTGATCGACTTCCTACTCTTCGATGTGGTTGCGCAGGTACGGCGCTCTCGTGGGTGCGCCTGTTTCTCTTCACAGCGTAGCCCGCAAACACCCGCCTCACACTCTTAACAGGGGAGTCTTAACCCCGCCCAGCGAGGGTCAAACTGACGACGTAAAACAAGTTAGAAAATGGAGCCCGTCTGAATCGTGTTGTCATCGCGTTAAGGTCAAATAATCGCCACAGTCTTTTAAACTCGACATCACACTCAGAACCTTCTCTGTTGCAGAAGCTTCACATTATATTTGTCGCTGGATTATTTTACAGGATGATTATTTCCTCGTCTCAGGTTTGCTGCGACACCGGAAGAGGATATCCGTCTGACGTTGATGACGTACTCAGCTGTTTGGCGCGGAACTTTGTTTTGTAACTTGCTCCTGTTGTGGACGAAACATCAGAACAGTACGTGACGCTTTGAATCATTGTGAATGAACGTGACAGTCAGCGACATTATGTTTATATAACGTAACAACAACGTGAGGTATGAAATATGTCGCGTCACAGCTCTGCACGTTGACTTTATTACATGTGTGGCTCGTGTCGTAGCTGAAAGATCAAGTAAAGCTAATAAACAACACATTAGCATGTTGTGGTTGTTAACAACTTTATTACGTTTTGATTTCCAGATGATGCGGAAAAAACGACGCTCCTCCGTGGATAAAGGGGGGGCAGGAGCCAATACTTCTACTACTACTACTAGTACTACTAGTAAGTTACTGCTAGTTCTATGATAACAGGTCATAACTTCTCTGTTAAGGTTCCAAGCTAACATCAGAAGTAAATCTCACTACAAACCAGCTGTAAACACAATATCTTTATTTTGTAATTATCTTCTTAATTTGTTGTGTTGAATTTAATCCACTATTCTATATCATACAGTATATTGAGCTATTTTATTTTTCATATTTGTTTTCTGCAAATTGTTGAATTACTTTTTCTAACCTATAATGTATATTGAGCAGTTTTTTAATTTTATTCTGTAAATTGTGTCCTTTAATTAGTTGTATTTAATTTTACTCACATTAAACTACATCTATCTTTCTATCTGTCAAAATTTTTTCTCTATAGAGGCAAAGAAGAGTCGAACTACTGGTCGCCCTCCTAAAGAATCTGTTTCAGACAATGCAAATCAAAGTGTATTTACTAAATTTCTGAGAGAGGCGGGTGTCACCGTGAAGCGCGGTGCCACATCCAATGAGATTGGTAAACATGCTGAATTCATGTTTAAAAAACAGAGCAGCACAGTAAATGAGAATAAGGTTTTCCACAAATGACTTTATTTTTCCATCTCTAGCTGTCGACCAAGTAGTTTTCCAAAAGAGGATTGAGCAGCAACTACGGAAGAATCCTAACTACCCTGGAGTAAGTATACACATCATCCCGATACACATTGAAAATATGGGCTTATTCTTAGACGATTATGTTTCTTCTTAGATTATACAGGAATTCATCACGGGATTAGAGTCTCACATTGAGGACCCTGACAGTTTCAGGAATTGCCTCCTGCCATGTGTTCCACAGTTGTCAGATGGAGACGGCAGGTAACCATTCTGCAAAAGCTCAATGCTACTTCAGGCTACAGTGTAGACTACGCTTATATCAGTAGTGTTTATGGTGTGACAGACTGACACGTTTCTCCCTGTGGTGTAGTTCTGTCAGCTCATTCCAGGAAAGTCTGCTACGCATGCTGTTGGGGATTGAGATTCTGCAGGTACAATATTTTCATAGAATCAGCCCAAGACCACTACATCACTTATTCAGAAAGAATAAAAGACAAAGGATCACACAGAAAAACAAATACTCTTGCACACAGCTCCTCAATCTACTGTTCTCTCTCATGCAGACTTCCATCATTAACACCTTGCTTGAGAAACTCCCTGAGTTTATGTTGGATGGGTCAGTATTTCATATGAGCTACTTTAACAGCATTGGCACCATTTTGACACATTTTTCTTCACTGTCTTATTTTTGCAAATTTCATCTTGTTCTTGTTCCTCGCAGCACTGGAGATGGAGGAATCAGTGTTCCACGCATAATTATTAACCAGCTCAAATGGCTCGACAGAGTCGTTGACAGCAAGGTAGACATCTGTGATTATAGGTTATATTGTAATGTTCAGTTGTCACAACCGTTAAAGTTTTAAAGGTGTTTGTATTTTTGCTGATCTGGTCTATTCTTCCTGTTATCATGTATCCTCTTCAGAGCGGTCATCACTAATTTCCAGGTGGTGAGGTGCTTGTTTACTTCTGCCGTCTTCAACATGTCACTGTATTTTGCAGGAGTTGGCAGCTAAGCTCATGGAGCTGGTGTCAGTAGCACCGGTGGACGTTCAACGAGACATCATCACCAGCCTGCCAGAGATACTTGAAGACTCTCAGCACAATGACATAGCCAGGGAGCTCAAGTATGTTCAGTTAAGCTCTTCCACTGATCTGTGACCCCGTTTAGACCTGGTATTAAGATCCATCCTTATTGGATCACAAGTGGTCCAATCACTAAGTTGAACGCGCCCTGAGATGTGATCACAAAAAACACTTTTCAGTCTGGAACGCATGTGGCCACATTTTTCACTTTTCTCTTTGACCATACGTTGATTATTTTGAGGCCATTGCGACAATATCAACACTGATCACCACATAATGATTGATTCTTAAGTAAACTCACAGCTCAACTGCACGAAATTAATGCAGCCCCTCCTGACTCCTCTCACAGGAGTCACGTTCTGGATGCATTTTAATGTCATGTGTGAATGCACCTTCTCAAAGCCGTCCATTTGTGATCAGATGTTTTAGGACAGATCTTGATACCAGGTCTGAACAGGGCCTTTAATTCTTGTACTGTGTCTGTGGTACTGATGATTAAACTGCTCTGTTTAGCTCCTTACTCCAGACGAACACTCAGCTGACTGTCCCCATCCTGGACGCTCTCTCTAGTCTTAACCTCAGCTCCTCACTGCTGACTGAGGTAGGAGACATTCTTACACCCTCACACTCATTTTGAATTAATAAGGGACTAGTGGATGTTACTTTGTGTTGCCTCAGGTTCGTGGAGCAGTCATGGCCACTCTGGCTGCTGTGCAACTCGAAGACCTACCTGTTGTTGTCAAGTTCATCCTGCACTCAGTCTCAGTCTCGGATGCATATGAGGTTAGATCTCTGAAAGGTGCTCAAAGCATTTTACATTAAATAAAAAAACACAAAGTAGGAATTTGACTACTTGATGTACGTGTTATTTGGTATCTACCACTGTGAAGGTTGTGAATAATCTTCGTAAGAAGCTGGAGCTCGAGCAGTGCGTTCTCCCTCCGGCACTGCAGTCGTCTCAGAGCCGCATGAAGAGTGACGGAGCAGCAGCGTAAGACAACACAGATGACAGCTCATTCATGATTTGACATCAGTGCATGTTGTCTGGTACTTATGAAGAAGTCGACCAGTAGGTTATTGATGATGTTATCTAATGAGTCTGGTTTTCGTGACAGGGCGGCTTCAGCTGCTGGTAGCAGTGTTGCGCTGATACTGGACGGCATTAAGTCCGCAGTGAGATTCCAGAAAACTATTTCTGAGGCTTGGCTCAAGGTGGGAAATTAGTTTTTAAGTCCTCTGGTTTTTGAAGTTTGTCCTTTTCTAAGGCTAGCAGACATTTGTTTAACAGTTTTTGTACATTTAATGTTATTGTGCACTCAGGTTGCTCTTGTACTTTAATAAACTGCCATTATCTTACTCCTTGTACTTTCAGTGCATGCTTTTTAATTTGCTCAATCTTTCCCCTTATTTTTCTACTTTCTATGTTTGTATGCCCCAAACACCGATGCACATTTCTTTGTATGTAAAAACCTACTTGGCAGTAAACATGATTCTGATTCAGATTTTTATCTCCACCTCAGTGACTTAACTTTTCACTGTGTTGCTTTTCATCAGGCAATAGATTCTGTGGATGAATCAGAGAAACACAAGGTGAACATCATCTCATTTGTTTTGCATTAATTGATATGTGTTTCTCTGTTTGTGACTGCATATAACACTGCCATCTGCCATTTCAGGTTATTGATCTGCTGGTGCTGTTCATCCTCCACTCCACCAACGCCAACCAGAGCCGACGGGGGGCGGAAAGGGTGCTGAAGTCTAAAGTGAGGACCGGACTCATCCAAGAGGCTCTGCTGCAGAAGACCTTCAGGAACTATTCTCAGGTGGGTCATTCTGCAGACAAACAAGACTATTCAGAGAGCGTTTACTGCGGTTTCTCTGAAAAAAAAAGTTGTATTTGGATTTAATAAATACTTATATACTGTAGTTACATGTGAAATGAATTTTGCTGTAAGAAAACCTCAGATGGTTTCAAATTGTGACAATTTGGAGATTCCATTCAATCTTTGCTCTGCTTCACTTTATTAGCATAACATGTGGCACAAGTATAGATGTTAGGCTACAACTACATG